GATCGTGACGTCGACTGATTAGCTAGAAACCGACCAGAACTATGCTTACAAAATCAATAATAACGCGAAATTCACGTCACGCATCAAACAAAATACAACGTTCCAGATACTGTTCCGGCAAGTTGTAAACGAAAAAATCGCTCTGCGGCGACCACAAGAGGTAGACCGATACAGCACGATTTTCCGTCGGCGACGACGCCGTGACCGTGACATGGTGGATTGAAGAGTACGAAGAAAGTGAAAAGGTCAATAATAAACAGGTTTATTAGCGATTTCTAGACTTCGTTCCCGTTTGGATTGAAAGTTTGTTTCAATCTAGATATTGGATTTGCTGAAGGTTAGCACTAGTTCTTGTCAAATTTTACGTTACTAATTTGACACTGACTTCCAATAAACAATAATTCAATATTTTTTCTAAAATAAACAAACCTTTTTAGGTGTAATTGAGACGCTCACAGAAGAATGTTCGTATCCCGTTTCTAGTCCACGTTAGTGAGAATTTTATTGCTACAGCTCGTAAAGATCAATACAGAAAGTTTTAAACACTGAAAAGTACATGCATTATTTATAACCTATGCAGGCTAATGCAATGCAAATGCATTCGTCAAACATTAATATCTTAAACATTGTCTGGGATGTTATAAATTTTACGTTTCGTTACAATCCTGAAAAATTTCACTTGCAAATTCAGCACCCCAAACATTCAAAATAACTCAAACTGAATGATTAATTTTAAAATTTAATTTAACTTGTAAATTTGCAATTTGAGTTTTTATCTCCCATTCTCAATTTTTCCCCCAAATATGCAGACGCAGAAAAAAATAAGCAGATTCGATTTAATTTTAACAAGTTCTGCGTCTCACATCCTGAATCGGTTGTATGTCGTTATGACGTCACGTGTGTACAATTTACACCATCTAAGTAGCTCTAACTTGAAAACAACAAATATTAGAAAGTTTCGGTTTACACTGTTCTTCTTCATTGTTATTAACGTATGTTCATTTGTTTTTAATTTTACAAATACGGCACCGAATTTTGTGGTTTATCTCTTTTTTTATTAATTAATTATTTGGACAGAACTTCCCTCGCTTCTTTGAAAAATTATAAAACCAGTAAAAAAAACAGCTGATTTTTACACTTTGATATAAAATACAAAAATTTAGCAAACATTAAAAAACCAGATAAGAAAACAAAAAATACCAAACAAGAAAATTCATCCTTGCCATTTACGTATTAATTAGTAGTGAAAGCAGTCGTAACTTAATAAAAACAAAAAGTATTCTTCTGTTTGAAGTCTAAATTTTATTTAATTTATAGTTAATTGGCTCCATTTTTTCAGGCTTTTCGTTTAGAAATCATGAATGCTTTGAAACTGATGAATGTTATTTTTAAATAAATATTACTTGGACATTTTCTTAGATTATTTTCTAAAGCATGATTTACAGAATTAATCAAAATAAAAAATAAATGAAAATATATACCGGATGACTAAGAATGATTGAAGCAAATTTTTGTGTTGGTACGTAATTCTGAATTATTGGCATGTTAATTCACAATTGTCAATTTTGATATTAAGGACGCGTAATAAACATGATGAGATGAAAACGACTGGCTTGGTGCCTAAAATTTCAATTGGACAATCAGGTATGCCACCATAAAATTTTGAATTTTACCAACGCGACAAAAAAATCACTCAATATTAAGGTGTCACCTATGCTAAATTGATTTGTTTATTTTAACAGTTCGAAAACGAAACAATTTTATTATGGATAATTTCCAACCATCAAATGTAGACACACCCAAACCAGTAAAAAAAGCTTTTTGGTTAACGTTTTATGTTAATTTTTATATTTTGACATAAAATTTCAAAAATTCAGCGCAAACATTCAAAAACCCGATAAGAAAAATATTCCTTTTCATGTTTCTCTTTTTTTCTAATTAGTAGTGAATTTTTCAGTCATGAGTTTATAAAAACAAAAAAGATTCTTCAGTGAATAAGTCCAAAATATACTATATAGCTAATTGGCTCCCTTTTTCTAGTTTTTTTTTTTTAAACCATGAATGTTTTAAAACTGATGAACGTAATTTAGAAGAAAATATTACTTCGACGTTTTCTGAAATCGTTTGCTAAAGCGAAAATTACAGAATTAATCAAAATATAAAATAAATAAATACAAATTAATACTGGATAACTTAATAATAACGACTGAAGCAAATCTTTCTGTTGGCAATTCTGAATTATTGGCAGTAGTGCTATTATGTCAGTGCCCAATTGTCAAATTTGACATAAGGGCACGTAATAAACACGATGAAAAGTACTACTGACTTGGTGTATAAAATTTCAATTCAACAATCAGGTGTACCACCATAAAATGTTGAATACGTTGCCAATCTGACAAGAAAATCACTCAGTATTAAAGCACATTTATTTTTTTCATAGCTAAATTTAGTGTATTTTTTAATTTCGAAAACGAAACAATTTTTTTTTTATGGATAACTTCCAACCATCAAATTTGGACACACCCAAACCAGTAAAAAAAACTTTTTCGGTTAATGTTAATTTTTATATTTGACATAAAATTTAAAATTAAGCAAACATTCAAAAACCCGATAAAAGTTATTTACGTATTAAGGGTATAATTAGGGAGATTATGGCACAAAGGAATGTTTAAAGCCCCACGAAAGAGGGTTTTTAATTTCCCGAGGGCCGCAATCGACAATTATGCCCCTGGTAAATACGTTTTATTTTATTTTAGTTTCTAAAATATTTTTAACGAAATATCGTCAAATTGTCAAATAATTCGATTTTCAAAACGCAAACTGAAGAAGAGAAAAACTTAACTTAAAAGAAATTTTAGAAGAATTCGAAGTCGGCCAGGGAATGATTTGATAAAATATTGTTTTCCCAACTTTAATAAAAATGTTGAATATTCAAGCTTGTTTGAATAATTAATTAATGTAAATGAATAATCAATTGTTGCTTAGCAATTTTTGACTGATTTGTGCCATAAAGGCCAATTTATGCCCGCATTTGGGTGCTTATAAACAAGATTTTGATTCTAAAATAGAATAAAAAAAAATCCTTTCAATGTTTTTGTTTCCTAATTAGTGAATTTTTCAGTGATGAGTTTATAAAAACAAAAAAGATTGTTCAGTGAGAAAGTCCAAATTATACTTTACAGCTAATTAGCTCCGTTTTTCTAGTTTTTTTTTTTTTTTTTTGGAAACCATGAATGTTTTAAAACTGGTGAACGTACTTTTAAATAAAATATTACCTCGGCGTTTTCTAAAGCGTAAATTAAATAATAATGACTCAGGGAAATTTTTGTGTTGGCAATTCTGAATTATTGGCGGGAGTGTTATTATGTCAGTTCATAATTGTCAGTTTTGACATAAAGGCGCATAATAAACATGAGAAGATGGAAACCACTGACGTGGTGCTTAAAATTTCAATTTGACAATCAGGTATGCCACTATAAAATTTTAAATATGTTGCCAACGTGACAAAAAAAATCACTCAATATTAAGGCGTCACTTATACTAAATTTAGTTGTTTTTTTTAACACCTCGGAAAGGAAATAATTTCCAACCATCAAATTCTGACACCTCAATTCAATAAAAAAAGCTTATTTGCGGTTAATGTTTATTCTTATTTATTTTATTCTTTTATTTTTATATTTTTAAATATAAAAATTAAGCAAACATTCATTATTACTAAAACCAGACAAGAAAAAAAATCATAAAATTTCAATTTGACAATCAAGTATGCCACCATGAAATTTTTAATATGTTGCCAACCTGACAAAAAAATTGCAAACATTAATAGCCACTCGGTATTAAAGCACAACTTATTTTTTTCATAGCTTAGTTATTTTTTTAACATCTTTAAACGGAACAAATTCTTTTTTTATGTATAACTTCCAACCATCAATTTTCGACACATCCAAGCAAGTAAAAATTCCAATTTTTGCGAGTATTTTTTTTTACCATAAATACAAATAGTTTGGAACCGATGAATGTAATTTTGAAATAAGTATAAATACACTTGGACACTTTCTGAAATTATTTTCTAAATCGCAAAATACAGAATTAATCAAAATATCAAATCAGTAGAAATAAATATTAAAACGCTATTTTTTATTAGCAGCAAATTTTTATGATTATTTGATTACAAAATCAACAAGGATTTTTAGTTGAAATCAAAACTTCATTTACAGTTCATTTTTTCTAGGTTTTTTTTTTTGAAATCATGAATAATTTGGACTCATTAACATAGTTTTGAATTAAATATAGACTTGGAAATTTTCTGAAATTATTTTCTAAACTGTAAATTACAAAAAAAAACAATACAAAAAACATAATTAAATAACCACCTATTAATTACTAAAATTAAGTAAGTAAGTCGGAGACAAAAACCTATAAATTTGATAACACCCAGGTACGTAGGCACCACTTTGGAATTGTCCCATTTTAAGGATTATTAGTGGAAAATGTTTGTAGTAGGATTTCTTATCCTTTTTTGTAACAAGAGTCCAAACGAAACGAAAATATTAACAGGATATGAACAATCTAATAGAATACATAAACAGTGATTTTTTTTGCATGTTAAACACGTACAGAAGAATTCGCCAAGACACTGTAAGTAGTATAAATGGCAACCGAATAATAGATTCTTTTCATATAACATAAATCGTGTTTTTCTAGTCGAAATGAAAATTGATTCAGATCCATCAAATCTGTCAGTTTGCGTGATTACAAAGAAATGAACATCGATCACATTTTGTTAAACATCTTCTGTTACTAAATTTAAGCACATTTCAAAGACAAGCCATCAATAGTACATTAGCAAAAAATCAGTACCATCTAAAAACAAATTAAATGAAAAACCCCAACTCGCCACGATTTTCTCCACACGCAAGCGAAACTAACAGTTTCTAACCCACTCTTCACTCATCTCGAACTCCAACACCACAATCAGTGTTGCCACCTCCACAACATACCTGTGTACAAGTGACAAACAAAGCAGCCCACACGAACACGCCGGCGATGCCTTGGGCCAGCTTCGTCTGAAGAAAAATGGGTTCCGAGGGAGCTGAATGCACATTTTCTGGTACCGAAGTGGCCATGGTCGCGTTCGCCACTAAACTTGCCGCCAATGATGACGCGGTTGTGCTACTGATACTGCTTGTCACTCTAGTCGTTGATGACATACTGCAAAAAAAAAATAATAACAAAATGAAAATATAGCAACTGCACATTCGAATATGTGGAAAAATGTCTAGCAACCAAGATCGTATTACGGTCGCAATAAAAGTCAGACCTCAGTTTTGCATATCAACAGGTTAGGTTTCTGGTTGATATTTAGATTGGAAGAGAACGAATCCGGCTTGCGTAAAATCCTTGTGGCATTTAGTTCGTTTAGAAACGGGGAGATTTATTGCTTGCTGCATTCATTTCATGCATCGTAAAATTGATTTCTGATAAATGAGATGTCAATTGTGTCTTTGTTGGGTGTTAGTGCGTTGTGGGTGATTGACGTTATTAATAAATTTCCCGGTTTATTTTCTTGCGGGGAAAATTAATCACTCACAAATACCAAAAAATTAAGTAGTAAGAAGCATTAATCGATCCGTAAATACTTTATTTCACGCATAAAAAACCTTTATACTGGTACTTTCATTGATAGAGAGTGAAATTGTGTTTGGTAGAAGAAAACTTACGGAAACTGTTGTGGCTGTTCCGATAACTGTTCAATTTGTTAAGGAGAGAAAACAAAGACAATTTGTATTTATTGTAGTTTGCGTTTGTGATACACCTACGCAAGCATAAAATAATCGATCGAAATTATTTCGATAACCTTCAGTTGTCTCTTAATGATAATTAGTCAACCGTTTTGATGACACAAAAAACATTGTTTCCCACTTGTTGTGCGGTTGTAACTATTGAAAGCTTTTGTTAGTCAGTACGTTGTAGTGGGTGTTTATGGTCAAAAACTCGTGACCCAACGTTGGTGTCACAATAAAATCTTCACTTCAATTTATTTGTTCAACCTAGAAAAAATACCAAACATAATTAATTGATTTGCAACTTTTATTGATGATAGAAACACTCAAAATAAAATTATAATGTAGAAGTTATATATTTCCCGTTAGAACATGTTTTACTGTCACAACAGTGATGACGTGTACTTATATCCGCATTGAGGTAGGTTTTTCCACCGCTGATCAACTGTTGGTTAGTTACTAAAAACACATGAATATATACAGGGCTTTCTTAAATATTTCGTACATCTAGTGATCTATGAAACTTACAAGTAGTGCAGATTTGCCACTTCTTAGTAATGGTGGACATTTTTTAAAGCTTTAGGTTAACAATACATTACGGAGGTGATTTAGAATCTGGACTAAAATCTTTAATAATCACATCCTTTCACTGTCCCATCTTTTTTTTTTACTCCGTATCTTATCACCTCTAGACACAATGAAACAGCTAAACCAACTAATCTGATACTTATTTGCAATAACGTGCTAGACAAAAATACCTTGCTTTGTTTTCTTCGTTCCCATTATCATCATCACGGAACGTTTTACATTATGAAGCATTTTTAAGAGGCACGATAAATTTTTGATAAAAATTATCGCATAATTGCGCAATGACATCATTAATGTCATAAATTAATTTGACATTATTATTTTTTATCACAAGTTTCTGAACATGCATTGTTAAGTCATAGATCTAAGGGTTAATTATCTCCGTCAAAAAATGTTTAGTCACATTTTTTTAGCAAAAATAAACACCAGCTTTAGGTTCGTAAAACAGAGTTATGATTTTAACAAAAAAAAAAAATACAAAACGGGAGAAATGTTTACGAATAATTGTTCTGGATAAATTAGCATTACCCTAAGTGCCATAAAATGTATTCCCAACTGATGGATGTCAGTTTAAACAAAATTTCTAATTAAATGTAAACTCGGTTTATAAATATGAATAACGAGCAAATTTTACCGTCTACCAGTATTTACACTTTGAAAATTGTTTCTCTGAACATATTTATTGAAGATTCTGAGAATACATTTTCAATTTTTACACACAAAGTCATAGTTTAGTGGAATTTTTTGAGAAAAAGCATCGTTGGAAGCGAGAATTTAATTATGTTAGGCAGCGTACACTCACTTAATTTCGTATCACAATTCGTAATTTAATCATTCTCTCGAAATACAAGACAAGGATTCAGAATGATTAAACGTGCTATCCATTTTCATTATTACATATTACACTGACATTGTTTCGGAATGAAATTTACATAAAATTAAATACAAAATAGTCAACTTCTTCCCAGTTTGCAAGTCTATGGCGTAAATTTGCACATTTTCACATGTGGAGAAAGAAAATTGAGACGAAAATGTTTTAATGAAACTGAGGCGTCAGAAAATGCCGTACTTTCACATAACGCAGCGAAAAAAATATTTTCCTTGAGGTCATAAAAGCATGTTTTTTATGACTTGATTCGCGATACAAAGGTAATTTTTTTACATATGCAAAAAATACTATAAAAAAATGTATCGCGTGTCACAGGTTAAAGCTCCCTCGTTAATTGAAGTACAGACATGCGGCGAACACCAAGTTTACCAACATGTTGAAAAACATGCAAAAATTTCCGAAAAACATAAGTCAGTGGTATCATGGTGGTCACTGCCGCCTCCCATTTTTCTACTTTTAATAAGTACAATGTTACCAAATTTTTTCGTCCAAAACATTGATGACGTGGATTCTCCTCTAGAATGCGCAGTGTAAAATGTTGAATAATTCACCCACAATTTTACGTTTTTAATTTTAAATTTATCTACAAAATGAACTTGTCCAAATTTGATAATACATACACTGAACGCAAAAATAAAACGTACAAATAATAAAAATGGGAAAGGTTGGTTATTTCGACTGAACTTCCCTCGCCCCTGAAATAACAGTTACTTAATTAAAAAACCACTCAGAGTAGGCGTTGGAATTTCATGTGACACAAAAGGCGTGTCTACTTTTATAGCATCCACTTACCAGGAACATAACCTTACATTTTAAAATAAACATTTGATAAGTGCAGTGTAATACTAATAATAAAAGAGTACTGTGTACTCACATTTTCGGGAAAATAGGGTGATCCGTTTTTGATTTGATAAAAAAATCAATTTCCTAAATTATCCATCGTTTTGTGTCGCCCAGTGTAAGTATGTAATATTAAAAACTATGAATCCATTAATAAACCACAAATAAAAGTCTTAATATTTTGCGTTTTTTAAATAGAATTTATTCAGCAAAATTCTGAGATGACGTCTTCAATTTCTTGAGAGGGGGGAAACGGATAAATTTTTATTACAGATTCACCATGCTTTCGGTGAAACGTTAAATTGTACAATTTTGTTGGATAATTGTGATTTTGATGTTTTTTTTTTTCAAAAATTTGCATGTCTAGGATAAAAATTCAACACGGATTCATAAACTCCAAGTGCAGGAAATGACGTCATCCCATTGCTGATGACAATGATTAGGCAATTTTTGGTTAGCGTTTTACCATCTACACACAATTCCTACATCCATATAAAATTTGACAACAATCGAACCAATAGTTTCAGAGATTATCTACCTAATAAAAATTTACAACAGACGACAGACAGGAAGACAGACGGAAACGGGAAACCTACTTTTTCGTACTCTAGTGGTTATAAAACGTCTAGAAAACATTAAAATAGTCCAAAGTTGTTTCGAGAGAACTTCCTTCGCTCCTGAAGTACAAGTGGACAAATACAGTTTTTTCGAAAAATTTTAAATTAATAAAATAAACATATGTAAAAATGCAACTAAAATAACAATTCAACGTTCTATGCTTGTATGACCTCATGTGAAAAAAATTACATATACCAAGATTAAACCGTGGAATGGAAAATACAATGGATTAAAACTGACCTTGCCTATCGAGCTTTCGATATTACTTCTGCCCTCAATTAGAGGTAAACGAATGCCAACATAATCTTTAACTAATCTTCTGTGTCAGTGGGTGTTGACGTAATATGATGTGTCAATTATGCAGTAGTACCAACTGTACAACTAGTCCATCAGCCAACTCTAATTCCTTTTATTGTACTATAGGAGTATTTAATATTATCACCAACTGTGATCAATGTTTTTAATTCTTAAAGACTAAACATACATCAATACATTATGCTAAAAGCACCTTTATTGCAAAAATATGATTTCATTTGACATTAAAAAGTGAGTGGTAGCAGCGTGGGAGCGCTACTTTTGAATACACATTTCTTTTAGTCTCAACTAATAAGGGAGCTGTTACCTAGAACAAAATTTCGTACAACAGGTGTAAAAAAAATGCGTCAAGTTAATTTAGACAGAACTTCTTTCGTCCCTGATTTCGCGAATTTTTTTTTATGAGCTCCTTTGCTCACGAGGACTTGATTTTGCATTGATACAAACGCATTATTCTAAGGAACCATGAACTCAGAACAGGGAGCCGATACGGCCGAAGGTCACAATTTACGATTTCTTAGATTTTTGTAATTAAAGAAAAAACGAGATTTTTTAATACAAAAAATTTGTCAAAGGTTATTTACACCCTCTGAGGTACAATCCAACAAATTAAATTAATTAAATTAAATTAAACAATTAAAAATATGTAAAAATGGATATAACGGAGATCGAACCCTGAGCCCTTCATATGCAAGGCTAAAATGCTTACCAGTTTTACTACAAGAAATACTGAATAACAAAAATTATAATAATAAAGATCAAAATCAAGGGAAACTCATAAATCACAAGTATAGGGGTATGTTATTTTATAAAATTAAAATTTATGTGGCATGTACTAAGCAAAATTTAGACGGTATTCTTAACATATTATATCTAAAATATGACAACAATCATACAAATAAGGATATATATTTTAACAGCAAAAACAATGTTTTAATTGTATTTTTGCCGAAAAAAAAACAAATTTCTATACAAAATATATCTGTTACTCAAGCAGTACACACGAAACGTAACAGAAAAATCAATTTCCCAATGTTTTAGAAAAAATGTGTAATGCAATAGAAACTTTCTATGCTATCAACTCGACTGATGACAACATGAGACGTAACATACGCATTTACACAACAATCACCTTTAAATTGGAGAAATAAGTAGCAAGCGTTTTATTGTCCCCGTAACACCGCAAAACGTCAATACACTGTCAACTAAAATGAGTAGTTTAGTTTGAAACAGCATTACCACTGCAGTGTACTGATAATATTTGAAATTAAATTAGAAAGTATAACATATAAAAATGTAAACCCCTCTCGCCCAAACCTGTCAACATCAACATTTTCCAAAACGTAACCCGCTCTTTATGCAACGTAGGATGGATTGAATGACCTTGGGTGAAAGTACTCGCAGCGGCTGCGTCTGAGCCGGGGAAATGTGAAGGGATTGTGGAATTAACGAGCGGACGATACACAAAGAATCCAACAATTATCTCATAGATTAAATCACTTTAATTAAATTCTCGCAAAATATTAATCTAACAATAACCAAAAAAAAAAATTATACCATCACGTACATACATACATGTATGTTTTTATTTTACTTTATGATGTGTCTCGAAGTATATTTTGTGGACATTATTGTCAGTTATAACAACATATTTTTTTAAGTATTTATTAAAAAAAACATACACTACGGTTCATTTGTTTAGTTGTTAACCGAGAATTACGTCTTTCTTGCTTCATAAACGTTTTGAAAACTGTGCTTCCGCTCTAAAAATTCTGCACCATTTCCCACGTTCTTGTATGTCTTTACATTCCCGACAGCAGGTTACAAATGTTGTTCTGTTATCTCATGTATGTGTATCTGCATGCATAATCATATTCATTACAAACACTGAAATCGATTACTGTAATAATACTCGTGTGAAGAATGTCGAAAGTACCATGTTAACGTTCCAGTTGGGTCAAAAAAACTGATATTTGACAACATTAAGATTTCCTGTATGACTTTATAAAGCAAAACCCGTTTTTTGTTAAATATACTGTACCAGTCATCAACTGTTAAATATAAAAAGCGACCAATTTTGTCAGATAAAAAAACAATGTTTGCAAATCGTTACTGACAGACCAGTTGTAGAACACGTCATCACGGAGATTATTCTTAGAAGCCTCAAAACCAATAAATACACACCTGAAATCGGTATAGTAAATATGATTCATACGGTTTTTCTTAACACTTCGGTAATTTCGGTCGATTATTTCATGATTTCAGTGTAAATTTGCCTTGCTCTTGCTCTACTTTAAAGTTCGTACACAAACGGTACACATACTTGAAAAACAATAATAACATTTAGGTATTTATTATAACGGTGACAGTTTTCTTTGTTGCACACGTTTTAGCAAACAGACAATGATTCAACATTTCTTTATACTTAATGATGTTTTTAATGTTCAAGGGCCATCCTACAAACCACACTAAATCAACTAGTGTCTAAATTGGCATTATTAAACGATTACATATGTTTATTTTGACACTTATTTGGAGCTAATTGACGTCTATTATACTGAAGCGAATGACACACGCGACAATAAATATGTATCTATCATGTCGATCTAGTTATTACGTGACATTAACAATTACTTAAGTCGTCACGTGACTTCTTAAACTTGAGCTTGACACTTTTTGGAAAAGCTGATTGGCTGCCCAGCCAGCTAGATCGCTCCGACAAAAATTTTAGGTTACGCCACTGACCGTGATCCTCCCTCTCGGTGAAAGGTGTGAAGTAACAACATTTAAATAATATGCAACATTTCCGCGTTCAAATATCGAACACGAAACGTTAAAAAAGCGTAATCTCTTATCTTGTGCAATTCTGATAAATGTTATTACTCACGTATCTCAGGCGCAAACAACGGTCGAAGAAAAAATCACCGACACCAACAATAACGCATTCTCACGCCGGAAAAGTGCCCGTTTTCCGCATTTCGGGCACACAACATGACAAAACTTTTGGCATATGGTCCATCTTCGACACTCACCTGTGCTGGTCCAACTGTCACAAAACAAAACCTCGGTTCTGGTATAGTTCGTCAGGTTTTCGCAAAACTTTTTTATACAGGGTGTTTAACGGCCACTATAAAACCAAATTCACCAACATTATGATTTACTCACGCCCTGCATAGGGCTCTTTTCCACGAAAACAACGCACATTAACACACACCTTCCTCAGATTTCCGCCATATTTTGCGATGACCTCTTTGCATGCGCATGCTCACGATGGCGCGAATTTTGTGCTGTCAATAAAGACATTGAAAGTGGATTGAATTTTAAATAAACTGTTTTCTCAAGGCTCGGTTCGAGCTGATGGTGGTAAACAAAAATGGTCGAAGACGAGGTCACTGATATGTTGACACTGTGGTAAATGAAGCGGTCATTTATTTGTAACAAGTATGGTTTATGAAAGTTGAGCTTTGGTAATGACCTGGAAATGAGGCTTGTTGGGGTCGGTGGTAAAACAATGAAGAGCTGCTTCTAATTTCATTATTCACACAGTTTAATACCTTAAAAGGTTTTAATGTAACCCGGAGTCCTAATTTCTAATTCTAGTACAGAGAAAGGAAGTGGGTTACACATGAATTTAAAATGAAATGATATTATTAAATGTTTTATAAAGCTTTTCTTGATTGGTTAGAGTGTTTTTAATAGAATAATTTAACACAACAATTAGGAAATGTTGTGGTCAGCACTAGGCCAAGAAGTGTTTTTGGTCTGTATTGTGTGTTACATAACTTAATTCAACTTGTCTAAAATTTAACTGCTAAATTTTTTAAACAGAATTCATCGGTTATACAACCCAACATACAGAAAAACGCATTTTCGTAACAATTCATTTTTGGAATAATAAAGAAAAACATTTAAAAACATAGGTTAGAGCAGCTGCAACACGAAATCCAATTATCTAAATATACGCTACCCAAATCAGTTTTACATACACCAACAGTGTATTAACAATTAGAACGTGTTTGCAAATAGAAAACCAAATTCACACATATTATTAATAGTCGAAATATCAACTATTATCATCAGCAGAATTATTAAATATTACTGAAAAATTTGTCTTTAAAAAATCGTGGTGCAAATTGCTCTCACCTTGGCAGTAAAAAATAAAATAAATAAATACGGTGATCAGGAAGGTAAACTATGAATGAAAGCCAGCAGAACAAGTGGTAAGCACAATGATGAAACACTAGTGTGTAACTTGTGCAGCAGCAAATTAATTACTCTTTACTTTTATTTCTTATTCTTATTGGAAGTTGGGGAAATTTGCACCACAATAAATTTTTGTTTAAAATTTCTACACATGACATTTATCGGGCTCTTTACCAAAATATTTGTCCGAGAAATGGATAGATGTCAAGCTAAAGAGTACCTGTTAATTACACGTGGTACATGAAAGAAGATTTTGACCAAAAGCTCACTGCAGTCAATTTTATAATTGACGATTTTAAAAAGAAACATACTGTACTACAAATATTACTTTTTTCCCACGTGGTTTCTTTTCTGATTGTCATTAGGAGCATTGTCCATAACTACTGTGGAATTGTTCTCAGTGCAAAGTAGGTATAAAGAGGTTTGGCTGGAGATCTTTTTACGTTTTCATTTTAAGGGGGAACGCTAGACGAGAGGCAAGTTTGAATTGGGCGCCATTTGTTGCCTTAAACGCAACCAGCAATTCTTCTTTAAATCTACCTGACGCGTTGGGATAGAAGACTACCGGGCATGGGTCATAAAAACATCGTAACCCGTTAATGAAGAATAATGATAATTTATGACAGGCGGCCCACAACATACCTTCAGCACAGAATAATCATTTCTCGTATTCTTTTGATATATTAATTTTAATATTCGAGATAATTATTATATTATTCAAACACAATTTGAATTCACTGTAGAGCAAACAAGGTTTATTAGCTAGTTTATTCGCCTAAATGTATTATTAATACCGTTTTCTTGTTATAAGGGAACAAATTAAATCCACAGTTCTATTTTTAAACGCTCTGTATTTTTGCTCGGTAAAAATGATAAATGCTAAGTTATATAATAAATGCTCAGTTAAAAAATAAATTCTCAGTAAAAATAATATATGCTTGGTGAAATAATAGCTGCTTAGTTAAATTAATAACTGTTCGGTTAAATAAGGAATTCTTAGTAAGAACTCAACTACTAAGTATAAAAATTGGTCGAAGGTTATTTCGACAGAACTTCCCTCTCCCGTCAAGTGCAGCACAACAAATTAAATAATACTCCCGCAGAAGGCGCAAATTGAAAAATGAAATATATTTAAGATAGACAACAAATCGGAAAAATCGAAAAATCAAAAACTTTAAAAATCGAAACATTTAAAAATCAAAAAATTTAAATATCTGAAAATTGAAAATCTAGAAATTGAAAAGTTCTCAATATTCAAATCCTGAAAAATTGAGTACTGAAAACTTGAAAAATTGAGAAATCCAAGCATCAAAAAATAGTAAAATCGAAAAATGTAAAATTTAAAAAATCCAAAAATTGAGAAATAAAAGAAAAGAAAAATCAAAAATTTAAAAATTCGAAAAATTGAAAAATTAAAATATCGAAAAATTGAAGAATTGGGAAATCGAAACATCAAAAAAATCAAAAAAACAAAAATCTAAAATTCAAAAATCAAAAAATTGAACACTCGAAAAGCCAAAAAGTCGAAAAAGCGAAACATCGGAATGCTCAAAAACTAAAACATCGAGAAATCCAAACATCAACAGTAGAGGAGTCAAAAAAATCAAAAAATTAAGAAATCAAATTAGACGAAAATTGAAAAATCGAAAAGTTAATAATTGAAAAATTGAAACATTTTAAATGAAAAAAATCGGTAAACCGAAAAATTGAAAAATCTAAAAATCGAGAAATTGACCAATCTAAAAATTAAACAATTTAAAAATCGAACAAGTGGAAAGGAAAACAAAAAAATTAACGGAAAATCTAGAACTTAAATATTGAAAAATTAAAATACCTATCGAAAAATTGAAAAACCGAGAAATTAAAACATCAAAAAATGGAAAAATTGAAGAACCGAAACGTTGCAAAATCCCAGAACTGAAATACTGAAAAACTGAAAAATGGAAGAAAAATTGAAGAATCGAAAAAGTGAAAAAATTCAAAACTGAAATCTTGAAAAACTGAAAAATGGAAAGAAAATTAAAGAATCGGAAAAGTGAAAAAATCCAAAACTGAAACATTGAAAAATTCAGAAATCGAAAAATTGAAAAATCGAGAAATAGAGAAATGGGAAAATCAAAAAATCAGTTAATCGAAAAATTGAGAAATCGAAAAATTTAGAAACGTCAAAAATTGAAAACTGAAACATCGGAAAATTGAGAAATCGAAAAATGAAAAAATTCGAGAAACCGAAAATATGAAGAATCGAGAAATCGAAGAATCGATAAATTGAAAAATCCCAACAGTAATATGTCGAAAAATTGAGAAATCGAAATCTAGCGAAACTGAAGTATCGTTAAGTTAATAAATTGAAAAACTGAAAATTTTTGAAAAAAAAAATCGTATCAAAAACTAAACATTAAAAAAATCGGGAAATTGAACAAAAAATCAAAACATTGAAATCCCAGTAAGTTGATAAATAGGAAAATTTAAAAAACAAAAATTTTAAAAATCCAAGAATTGAACAACAAAAAAAAATCTAAGCCTGAAAACTCATAAAATCGAATGATCGAGAACTCAAAATATCAAAGAAAACAAAAAATCTAAAATTTAAAAATTCGACAAATCGAAAAATCATGGAGCTGAAAAATCGAAAAGTCGAGATAGTGAGAAATCTAAAAACCTAAAACTTTAAAAACTGAAAAATTAAAATATCGAAAAATTTAAAAACCAAGAAAATATAATATCAAAAATTTGAAAAATTGAAGAAACGAAATATTGCAAAATTCCAAAGCTGAAATATTGAAAAACCTAAAAATGGAAGAAAAATTAAAGAATCGAAACTGTGAAAAAATCCCAAACTGAAACATTGAAAAATTGAGAGATAGAGAAATGGGAAAATCAAAAAAATTAGTCTAAAGAGTTTAGACAGTACTTCCCTCGCTATCGGAAACGTGACGACTGCATGCCTATTATGTTTTTTTTTCACATTAGATTTCAAAGCATTCGGTTTTGTTGTAGGTACCTGTACCCGATTAAATCAGTAAAATAAATCTGCGCATTCATTAAATTTTTTGAGTCACCCTGTATATCCGAATCCAAAAAATATGAGTGGGATGATAAATTACAAGAAGAGACTCATCATATTTTGTACATTTTAGATAGGATTTATTCAGCAAAATTTTCGGATGACGTCATCAATTTTTTAGAGGGGATAAGTAAATATATTGTGATTAAAACGGTCCTGGTTTAATAACAAAAAAATATTGTTCGTCTATGAAACAAGCTCGTCTTAGACAAAGTATTCGTAAAAAAAAATATGTCGTAAAAAAATGTACTGCGATTATGGTTTAAATATTTTTTAGAAAATCCTGTCATGGATGTAGACACATTTGTGACAGCCAAAGAGGTTTTTTTGAGAAAATTATTTTTGAATTTAGACCAAATTTAAATAGACAGTAGCCAACAGGCACATTTGGGCAAAAGAAAGAGAGGGTTACGGCTTCAAATTTTGGACGTATTTACAAACTTAGGCCGACTACAACAATAGCTAAAACTGTAGAGTCTCTGTTGTACAGTACATTTGGAGGTAATAGTCATACATACTATGGACAGCAAAATGAGGAAAAAGCTGTCAAGTGTTTTGAAATAAATAAAAATATAAAAATTGAACGGTGTGGCTTGTTTATTTCAAAACAATTTCCTTACTTGGCTGCTAGTCCAGACAGGGTTCTAGAGGATAGGAGTGCATTAGTCGAAATTAAATGCCCTTCAAAAGCGGTTAGAAAAAAAATAATCAAATTTTGTACATTGACAGAGAGAGAATTGAAACTAAAAAAAATCATGATTACTACTTTCAAGTCCAGGGACAAATGCTTATTACGGATATCTCACAAGTTTATTTTGTTGTGTGGGCACCCAAAAGAATATATATAGAAAAAATTTATAAAGACGAAGAAATATGTAAAAAGATGGCAGATAAACTTGGCAGATTTTACTTTGGCGCATTATTGCCCGAAATATATTTTTTTAAATAAATAAAATTTGTTTCTATTAGGAGTACATTTTTCATCACCAAGACTTGCATATTTTTATTATAAATATATTTTGAAAATGATCTCTCGGCAAATGAAAACATATACGAGCACTTTTTTCGAGTAAACAATGAAGGGAGAACTTACTGGGCGTAGGGCTTTTTTAAAACACCTCCTTTCTAGGATAAGTAGTAGATACACTTAGCTATTTATACGTGTTAAACAAAAGCTGTATTTTATATATTTTTTATTATTATTATAAATATGTTTATTAGTTTTATTAATTAACAAAGCAAAATATATATTAACAATAATATTACAATGAATTTTTAGTAATCATGGGTATTGAATTCAGGATCCTGAGTGGAGTAAAAATATTATAGTTCCCCAGTTTTAATTCGGTTTTATGATAGTACCTCATTGCCTAAAAGTTAATTTCCTTAACAATAGATTACTACGGCCGGTCCTGGCGGCTTGTTATAAAACTGAGTTCCTTGCCATAAATTAGAAAAATCAGTCGAGAACTCTAACAATCAGATTATGGTAGAGCAGGCGATAAGGGTTTTACCTGGAAAGTCGCTTCCGTAAATTTAATGGCGCTCCTATCGGCAAAGTACTGAACTAACTGCTCAAATTCTGTCGAATTGATATCCATTTTTTTCAATAATTGTTAGTTTTTATTAAAAACTCTGCTAACCAATAGATCATTAATTTTCCTCTGATATTCCTGTTAAAATTATTCGACGTATTTTGCATTAATTTGTGATATATTTTGATTTAATAAAAACATTATTATTTAAACAAATTGTACCACTAACAAACATTTAATGACTCTGCGCCCTGCAAAAAGTGATGTTTTATCCATGTGCGAATTTTCAAGCGATTCTATGACGGTTGTGACTAAAAAAACTTGAAAAGAAGACATACAATGGTGCTTTTTTTACGATATTTCTCAGCCATATTTTTTTAATTGATTGAACTGGTCTCTGCGCTCTAGAATATGAATAAAGTTGCAGTTTGACGTATGATACATCTATATTAATATCATTTTTTCATACAAAAAACCAAAAAAATGTTATACCTCGTCTAGCGAGTCCCCTTAAGCAATCCATTTTTTTAATAATGTCCGAAAAAATTCTTTTTTTTTAATTTTACATTCTTAACTACGAAGTTTTTAGTAAAACCCGTGGCAAATTTTCATTACAGAGTGTCTCTAAAATTTTGTAACAATTTGCCTAAAAAAATTAGAAGCATTTACAATTAAATGGTTAGACTACAAAAGATTTTTTAAATTCGATATGATTTAAAATTTATATTTTTGAATTAGTAACCTAATTATTAGTAATTACGTACTTTTGATTTGACTTTGTGTTATTTGTGTAATTATGCCAACGTAATACATTATTAATATTATTATTATCACCGTTATATTATAGCCTCTAACTACAGAAATTGATCACTCATGTATTTTTTTACGAAGAAAGATCCTGTTGTCGTTTTATAGCTTTTGTTATGGCAATTTTATCTGTGTTTGTGTCGTTAAACTTATTTGTTTTCCAAGAGTCTCCCTATGAAGCTTCAATATAACTTGGTCATACTTTTTTCGTACTTTTTTTTCTACTATAAGCAATCATTTTGAAAAAATGTGGTATCCCGGTTTGAAAAATTGAATGTCGCGACGAAATAAAAAATAATTCTAGTAACGTAGGCAATCACCCATGCGTGGGTAAAGCGTTAGAGGAGAGGCAGAAGGCCTCAGGTAGAATTCTAAAAGGTTACTCACTCTTGTTTTGAGTGTTAATAAAGGGCATTAAAAAAAGCGAATCGCATTCGACGCCACTGTCCCCATTCAACAAGTGTAATTAATACAAGATCAGTTAATTTGTGGTTTTCTAATCATGAATGTTGGCGAATTCATCAACACGCGTTATTTTGGTTTATAAATTCACGGTTTATGGCTCTAATACAATTCAACTACAATAATGAAAATGTTCCCGTCAAACACGTAGCAAGAAATTCACTCATCCGGCTTCAATTTATTTTAAATAACGATATATATGAAGTTCAGATATTTTTATTTGAGCTGTTATGTTATCCAACTTTATAATTTCTCTCGAGATTTATAATTTTAGCTACCAGCCTTAAACATTGATTCATTTTGAGAGAAAGGACTCGAAAATTATTTGTTAAATTAATATCATCGTGCACTCGAAAACGGGAAGGCTTTAATATTTTTTTGTGGCTTGAATTTGAACATTTATTCTAGAATTATTTTGATTTTGACCCTGTTTAATTTGTACCTAATCGTGTGGCGAAAGCGGAATACACGGTTTCTGGTTACAGCTGACGGTTTTTCTGTCATGCCATTCGCTCTAACAAACGTTAAATCTCTATGTAGTCATAGGACTGTTCTCTGAAAATAGGATAGAGCGTGTAATATGCGACAGGTTTTTTGAGCATAGACAAAAATTTCAAATTTTTTGCGGCTTTTACAATTTTGTGCACATGTCTCACTTAGGCGGGACGTTTGGTTTATCGCAACAATACAAATATTGTATCTTTTTGATAATCGACGATTATGTCTATAAATACGGAATTTATGAAATACATATAATTATCGAAAAGCAATGACATAAGATTTTACTTGTTTTCACCATTTAGTGGTCTATCAATTTGTTTATTTCTTTTTAGGTTTTGGTAGCAACGCTAACCAAAATTTGTATACCTACCTGTTAATCCTCTTCACGAAACTGATAACGTTACCTGAAAACGAATAAATGTTTACGATTAATGAAGTCGAAATAATCACGCTTTCCTTCCTTTGCTTGAAAATTCACAAAAATTTTACTCATCTTCACTTTCTGAGCAAATAAATGATTCTGGGTAGAAACTAAAGGCGTACCAAAATCTAACTTGATGAGATTTGGCTAACTTTATCTTGTTAAAAACTGCAGAACAACGAAAGCCTTGGGATTAAGACCCAAATTGACCAAATTAAATCTGGCTTAATATCTTAAACTAATGGGTCCATAGAGATAAATGAAAAATGATATCTCGGTGTTGAATAAAATTGGGGCGTCCAAACTATGTCAGACTTATCATCCTTTCACTTCCTTCTCTATGGTTTAAGGAACTCAAGGTGGTTTAAAGGAATCCAGAAAAATCGTTATTACTTATACAATTAATAACAAGCATTAAACAAAAACAATCAACGGGAGTTTTGGTACCTGTGTAGAGAGGGTAGCATTAATATCATTCTGGCTCGAATGTGACGAATCGACTAGGACAAAAAAATATGTGGAAAACTTAACGGAAATTATACTCAGTGACATGGAAATCAGAACACCCAGTAATAGTAAGCATATTTTAATAATTTTTGATATACGTAGTTAATACGGCAATAGAAGTAAATGATCAAAATTTGAAGTGATTCAAAAACGTGTTGATGGTCCCGAACTAAAATTTTCGAAAAATTTGGGACTAAAATTTTCGAAAAATTTGGTTTGATACCGAGTTTTTTTGCCTCGAAAATTGACATTTTTTCTTTTGATCAATTCTGGTAAAACTGTTTGCTTTTTTCAAAGAAATGAAACCGAAAATAACTTCTATAAATCTAAATTCATAAAAAAATGCCCTTGGCTAATTTTCCACATGTTCGAAGGAAAAAAAACTGTTTTTTAATTATTTTTTCGGTAGTTTCGGAGATTATCTTAATTATCGTAGCAGGTACTAACACCACCCACCCGCCCTTTTTTTTCTTAGACGGTATCATTTGCCAAAATCAGTCTTATCTTAGCAAATAGCTGCTAGCCTCGCCCACCCACCCTTTATTTTTGAAGAGAGTATGTCACTTGTCAAAATCAGTCTAGTACTATTACGGATATGGCCGAAAAACTGATCGTTTACTTATCTTACCCTAACACACATGCATAAAAAAATTATTAAAATATTCTTACTATTACTGGGTGTTCCGATTTCCATGTCACTTAGTATATAATGTCTCATCAAAAACGCATATTTTTGGAAATACAACAGTTTTATTTTCTTAATTACAACATGAAGAAACCCTCATATTTGGTATACAAATTTTGAACACAATCTGAGTTTTCTTAAAGTTATAACTGAAACCAGGAAGATATTTCTTGAACCAGGCATGGCCATCAAATGCGAATCTATGAACAAAAAATCATTTTAAAACTTAACGACGTTAGTAAATTTTGGTTAGCCGCCAAATGAATTGCAGCTTTTATTTTATGCATTGATGGGACATTTGTGTACCTCAGAACCACTATTTTGTTTAACTGTAATACTTGAGATATATAAATGTCCCCAACACTCGGTATGTAAATTTTGTTAAGAATGCAGTCTTCATTTTCAAAATTACAAGAGCTATAATTAAATTTTCGTAAAATGAAAACCGCATGGTTTTCCATCCAAACCCACATACGCGTCACGTGTTGACGCAATTTATTTGAAATCAATCAGTGTCACTCGACTGCGTAAATAAAACGAAAATATAATTAATCTACTACTAGATATACAATTAATCCTGTATTACTGGCCATTTTATAGCAGGATTATAGTTCCCCAAAGCCTCGTAAACCTTGAACGCTTGCATTTCTGCGTTCACACACTTTCAAAACAATGACACCAATTCATCTCAACATAATCCACTTCTGTATTGCAAAGCTATAAATCGCTGTGTAAATTTACGCGCACGGACTGTTAATATCCTCCAAAACAAGTTACTGATTTTTCAGTTTTCTCTGAATTCCTTCCAAATGCAGACATCGTATCGTCAACACAAGCAATATTGCTGTCCCAGCCAACATAAATAAAGTTCGTTTTGCACGAAAAGCTCTAAACATCTCCTCCCTACACGTAACAGATATTGATGTCCTTTTTTGCTTTCAGAGTAAACGGCCCACGTTTCATCGATTACACATTTTGCTTCGTAACGAACTTATCTCCAGCGACGAGATACATTTTGTCGTATCAGTAATTCCGTGTTGATGAAAACGTTATATCGTTTCCAGCGCTGTCGAGGCCGGCCGTTTGATAGTAGTCGTCCTTATGGATTTAAGGTGCACTTCTTTGAAGTCCAAATCCGGTGACTTCCAGTTGATGAAATTTCTCCTTCAGTGAGGTTGTGTATACGAAAGAAAAAAAAATACTGGTTGATATTTCAAATAGCAGATATGTGACATTTTTCCACAAAATAAAATTCTCACTTTGTTGGAAGATCTAACGTTTTATTTGTTCAAGATTTGTCTAAGTTGTAACTAATTGAACTTTAATTTTCACGAACACAAAGGAATCTTACACGACTGATAGCACCATAGTACACGCACTGAGGGTTGTTCACCACACCTACACTTAAGTTTAAGAACCCTAGACACGATGCAAAATTACTCAAAGCAAGTCTTTAAAAATATTGTCACTGTACTTTTTAACTGTCCATGGTTACCCGTTCCAAAAGTCTGATATTTGGAATCGATAATTATGAATAAAGTAGAGTCCGCAAAGCAGTGAACATTTTTGAAACAGAAGGTTCACTATTTGGCGGACTTTATTTTATATGGGTAGCCTAGTTTTAAAATTCAAAACCTCATTTTAATTACTAAAATGCATATTTAAAAACCACAAAATTCCATTTGAAATGCAAAAGTTGATGTCATTTATAGAAAAACCAGCACAGATATATTACAACACAGTAAGTTACAATCACATTGGGTATCATTAAAAATTTAAAAAATCTGTTTTACGGGCTTTAAAATAAAATAAAATTCAGAACTGAAACACTAAGAAAGTTCACTCGAATATTTAGAGTCCGCACAAATTTGTGATCAAATTATGTGTTCCAATGTCTTGAAACGCGACTTTAACCTTCTGTAAAAAAAAAAACAGTTTTACGCAAACACCACTTTAAACAATTTATATTAAATTTCAAACAAAAAAATAGTATGGTATTCTGGAAACAAAATCTTGACGTTAGAAATCAAATTTTTGACAAAGAGAAATAAGTTGAGTTTAACACAGAAACAGATGTGATCACGAATTACAATAGAGTTCTTTTAATTTTGGCAAGGTGTTGTAAAATCGTACCAATTACATCTGGGATATTTCTGTTTCTGTTTTCATCAGACATCTTTTTAGCATTTTAGAGGCGGAAACGTATACTGACTACATAGATGTATATAGTGTGTCGGACGAAGGCAGAAATAAAAACACCATTTTACAACACCTTGCCAAAATGAAAAAGTTACAATCGAAAAATAACAATAACCATAATTAATTTAAGTTTGTATATCCAACTAAATCCTCCATGGAAGACAAATACTTATTTCACATTAAAAATGTCACTAGGATTTTTTAAAATTTGACTTAAGAAGCAAGATGTTAACAAGGGAAGACGTACTTTAATTTTTATCTAAATGCCACTGTCATTGACACAAACTGTTCATACAGGGTGATGAAAAAATGGCATATAAACTCGATTGTACGTTGTTAATAAGGCTTTGAAGGACTTGAAAAAAATTGTTAAAAAAATCCTGAACCAAACCTTTGAAAATATTTAACTTCAAAGTTAAAAAATTAACTTTAATTTTAATGTGAATTTGACTGACAAAATAATTTTCGATAAAAAATCAGCGTATTCTGGCAAATTATGTTAATTCTTCAACTTTGACGTTAAAATTAAAATTTCGAAAAGTTTGGTGCAGGTACTTTTTTTAACCATTTTCTCGAGTTCTTTTAAGGGCGTACGATTGAACTTATACGTCATTTTTTCATCACCCTGTCACTGACACAAATGGACGTTAAACGAATTAAAAGATCTTTCACATCTTTTTTTTTCAGTTTCCCAATTTTTTTGTAACACCATAGTTTTATTTTGTTTCAGGTAAATATTTAAACAGGTGATTTATGGCATAATTAAAAAAAGTATGTTTTCCATATTTATTATTACTACAAAGTAGTGAAAGTGAAAAATGTGTAAAATTCTTTAAACAATTTCCCGTGTCTATTTTTTGAAATTATTTCCAAGATGACGTCATCACGTTCTTGGTGGGGATAAATATATAAATTGAAATTTCTAGAATGCAGTATCACTTATAACGTTATTTAAATGTCATTTAAACCCTGTGTGACCAATTTTAAAAACTGGTCGAAGGTTATTTAGACAGAACTTTCCTCGCCCTTGAAATACAGTCCAACAAATGCAATTTCTTCCAAAAATTTTGCAAATTTTATTTTTTCAATGATAATCCGAACGAGTTAAAATAAAGACTGATAAACCACAAGAATATATTCACAATATTTTGCGAATTTTAGACAGGATCTATTCGACAAAATTTTGATTTACTATTTACCATGCTTGTGATAACTTGAAACATTCGTTTTTGCAGTTTCAAAGTTATTCGCAAAATGTAATTTAATTCTGATTTTTTTTTGTCTCGATGTTTAGGGTAGAACTCAAGCCGGATTCATAAACCACTCCTATACCAATGTTACTTTATAAAATTTTAAGGAAGTTCTGTAACAAAACTAAAAATTGTAATAGTTTACTTTTGTAATTTTTTATCGTATTTTACCAGACAAGAATAAAAAGAATTACAATAAAATCGTCAAAAAGGAAATGCGTTTTCATATTCTACGAGAAATTATAGCATTAAATATTCGTCAAAATAGTCGTTACACACTGCTACGAAAAAATCAAAATTTTTAATCTCACATTGTATCAAATATCACTCACGTGTGATTGTTTTGATAATGTGGAAAAACCACAAAATTATCGCAGCAACTACGAAAAATGTACAAACATGTTTTTTCAATAGTGTTCCAGTTAAAAAAGTTGAATTGGGTGATTATCCGCCCAATTTTCAAAAAGTAGACATAAAATGAGCTCCAGTGTTGGCAACCAATACCCAAATTTCTTAAAAACTGGTATTCTGGTATTAAAATTGTCCCATAACAAAGCCGTGAATAGCGATTCTCAATGTTTATGCAACATAAACAACTCCAATTACTCTCAGGACAGCCACCACAACAAATTTTTGAGCAAACTTAAAAAATCGTAGAAATATAGTTTCTTCTATTACCACTCATTGGTTCCAAAATTCGCTTTTTAACATCAATCCTCACGTATGATGTTTGGAATCCTGTGAGACGTCCACTATAATAGCCCAAAAATATTTCCACATCATCCATTAATCATTTCAAGGTAAAATCTGCAAATTTCTTTTACAACCAAAGTAGTTCTTTCTTCTACTGTGTACAGTAATTTATTTCCGCCTCCTGGACGTCCTAAGTTCCCAAGGTAACCATCCCCATTTCATTCCAACCATTAGAAAATCAAACCTCCTTACACTTTGTTATTTAACCTGTTTATAATCTTGCACATAACAACCAACATCAATATAGATAATCCTTGCACAATTCCTTCATAACAACAACAATACAATATCGCCAGAAGTCCTTATTTTCTCAAAAATACAAAAACTACAAAATCCATGGACACTTACCAAAAACAAGTCAAAAGTTAATCTGTTAGTTTATGGGGTGCCTTAAAGAAATTTAATTTTTCTCTTTTCAGAACCATACACACATTCTTCTGATTAAGGAATTCTTGCCCAATAACAACAGAAACCTCTTGCATGTGATCTGGGACAACTATAGCTTTGATTAAGGCTCTAACTGACCCCACTTCTAGAGTAATCTTTGTTTCCCCTAAGACCGGAACGACTCCTCCACCATAAATCTCCAGGTAGTTTGACCCTCCCACAACGTTGAGATCCAAGCCACTGATGGCTCCCTTTTTAATCGTTACAGCGGTGCATCCCGTGTCCACGAAAGCGTCCATTGTGCGTCCATTAACCACACAATTCTTATACAAACAACTACTGTGAGTTTGACTAAGTAACTTGCAGTACATCATCTTCTCAGCCTTTCTGCAATTCCTCGCCAGATGTCCTCGATTCCCGCATACTGTGCACACTTTCGCCGCCATGGGTACTTTATTCTGATGTCTGAAGTTATTATTGTGCCGGATAAACCTCTTGTCGAGCCGCGAATGCACGGGGGCTGTCCGCTTCGGTGGAGATTTCAGCGACCTTCCAACATCCTCGTTTTCACGAAAACCCTGACTTCCTGGATTATGGTAATCAAAATCTTCCCTCATTGGGTCCTTTTCATACTCGAAGACTTCTTCAGTGTGGGCTGAAATTTCAGCAGCGTCCTCCATGGCTTGTTGCTCTTCATACAACCAGTTATTTAAAACTGCGTCCGCGTTTGGGGCTAGCGCGGGAGAGTAATCGACGGTGTATTCTGGTAAAACGGTGAGAAATTGGGAGTAGAGAGTCTCCGGGGTGAGGTAATTTTGCGATTTGGCTTGTTCTTGTATAGATTGGTTGTTGAGTCCGTCGATGAGACACGAAACGGCGTCTTCTCCAGTGATTTTACAGGCTTCAATCAGGTACATTTTGCTGAAGTAATAGGCGGTCATGCTCTCGTCGGCTTGTTTAAGTCGCGTCACTAGTCGTTTTAAAGAGGTGATGAAATCAGTGTTGTCGGGGAACATTTTCGAGATGAGGATCTTCCACTCGGGCCACGTGTAGTCGTAACTCGGCAGACTGTTATACCACGCTTTGATTATCCCCGACATTTGACTCCCCATGTACGAAATTGTCGTTTTTTCATCCCAGTTGTTCTGGATAGAGACGTCTTGAATTTTGTTGATCCACATGGACGTGGTGAAGTCGTGCCGCCGCGGTTCCAAACTAAACTGTCCCCGCCTTTCCGTTGGTTGCTTCTCCGATACTTTAACAGCCGTAGTAGGTGGGGCTTCCGGGGGCGGTTGACTGCTCCTCTTTATGAGTTGCTCCAACATACCTTCGAGACGCGCCAGTCGTTCTCCGGTGGCGTCCGAATTGCCAGCGCTGAACTGATTTGTGGCCTTGACGTCCTTCTGGTGGTATGACTCACTGTTGGTGGACTTGTCGGCTTTGGTTTGTTTGCTGCTGGATTCATTTTTGGTGCTGTAAAAGTTGGCCTTTTTGTCTTTGCTGGGGTGGTGATGTAAGTACGATTCTTCGTCGGAGTTTATGGAGCTCAAGGAGTCGTCTTGATATTCGATTCCGCGCGTTTGATCCCGCTCTCTTTCCCTGTCTCGGGTGTGTTCACTGAAGCGGTCGTAGTCGTAGGGCTGGAGGTGGTGGTGATGTCTCCGGCTCATGTCGGTGCACCTTTTTGTTTACAACACTTATTTTAGAAAGTTTTTGTACACAACTGGGTTATCCGTTACGGAACCTGACAAGATGGATGCGAGTTTGACGGAAAACGGTTGGCAGCGCTGCTGTCAAGTGACAGAACGAAGACCACCCAAAGTATACATCGAGTAGTGAAGGTATAGGAATATCGAGAAGCGATACATGCTCTATTAAATCAGTTTGATTTGTTCTTTTAAAACAATAATAACGAGCATGCGCAAGAAAAGACGTAGGGACGCATACGTTTATAAATAAAAAAAAACGTCTAGAATAAAAATCTTTTCGAAAAAATGCGTTAGAACGAATGTTTTCAGAAAATAGCTTCATCTGAAAGTTAAATCATGAGAAAATATACGCGGTAGAACGAAAGCTTTTAAAAAATGCGTATACAGACTTATGTTTTAACGTATGAGTCATGTGGATGTATAACTGGTTGCATATGGTTTTCAATGTGAAGGCACCTTGACTATATTTACTATTACATAGTTACTGTTTTTTGATACAAAATGAGCTTGATAACGTTCATCTACTATTACTTTTGTTATAATTATTTATTAGATATAATTTAAATAATTTTTTTTAGTTTACATTTTATAATTGTAGTTGGCTTGTCTTGTAAGTTATAACGTTATAAGTTTATCCATTTACGACCCGGTTTACAAAAGCTCAATTAAATATTTGATTGCGATTAAAAATTTTTAACAAGGCGTTAAAGTACCACGTGACCGAATCTACGCCAATCAGATATCGCTAAACGCCTCGTTGAATGCGTGATTAACTTAATCTCATTTAAACTATTGTATAAACTGACCCAATTTATGGCTTACGTTACTATAAAGTAGCAAAGAACTCTTATTAAGTAAAATATTAAATAGGTAGATCTTTAAAAGCTTTAATAATTGTTTTGTATTAATTAATATAGTTCAAGGGATAGAAGATGTTCTGAAAAACATATAAAATAGAAACATTTTATCCTTTGTATCCAACACATCAGGTAAGTTTTAGAACATATAACTTGCAAACAAATCATTGTACAGCGCAGAGTGGTGTTGAAAGTAAAATACATTATTTTACGTTTTCTTTTAGTGAAAGTTTTCAAGAAAGTGTAAAACTGGATGGAAAAGATACCTTCTAGTAAGAAATGAAAAAAATTGCAAATATTTTTACTATGATTGTTATCGTTCTTTCTTTCTTTCTTTTTTTGAGATTTTTCAGTTTCATTGTCTTTTTGTCTATCTTCTGTTTCAGTCAATTTTTATCCCCATGTTTCTTTCTGTTTGTTTTTTTGCCTGTCTTTCTATGATTCTTTTGTGATGTTTTCGATGCTTTCTACCTCATTTGATCTCTGTCATGTCATTTTCGTGTAGCTTTCTGTCTTCCCATTTGTTTATATATTTTTTCCTTTTGGCACTTCTATGTGTATTTCTTTCTGTTTCTCTCTGACGTTCTTCCTATTTGGTTTTCGCCCTGACTATCATTCTTTTTTACTGTATTTTCTTCTCGGTGTCTTTGTTTCTGTTTGTTTTTATTTCAACTTCTTTCTTTTTTTCCGATCTTTCTATCTTTTTTTCTGTATATCTTTTTTATTTCTGTGTTTCTTCGATTTCTCTTCCTATCTTTCGTTTTCTTTGTTATTGTTTTGTCTCTCTGTTTTTTTTTTGCCTTTCATTCATTCTTCCCGGCTTTCTATTTGTCTTCATTTTCTCTCATCTTCATTTCTATGTTTCTTTAAAGTTGTCTCTATTCTATCATTCTTTTTATCTTTGCTTCTCTGTTTTTTATTTTTTTGTAATCTTCCTGTCTTCCCCTCTGTCTATATATTTTTTCTTTTGGGTTTCTCTTCGTATTTCTTTCTGTTTGTCATTTTTTCTGCCTTTGTAATTTTTTTGTGTTTTCCTTTCGGTCTCTTATTCTTTATCTGTGTGTTCTTTTCTTCCTGTCTACCTTTCTCTATGTCTGCTTTCCTTACTGCCTCTCTCTCTCTCTCTCTCTCTCTCTCTTTCTGTATTTTCTTCTATCAATCTTGTTTTCATTTCTATCTATTTTTACTTTTATTTTGTTTTAGATTCCTTTCTGTCTTTTCTTCTATTTACCTGTCTTTTTGCCGTATTAAAAAGTTTGCAAAATTTCACAGCTTTCGGTTTTGGAGTTTCAAAGTTAAACTGGAAAATGTTATACGACTGCGATTTTTCCCAAAAATCTGGATGTCTGGGGTGCAACATCAACACGGATTAATAAACCACATCTGTATATAAAAAATTTAAATAAGTTCGCTGACATTTGCTACTTTTTTTGGAATAATTATAATTAATTATATTTTGCCTTTTTTTTCTTAATATACGTAGCCAACTTTTCACAACAAGAAATTTAAAACATGGTTAAAACGGTACATTCTTGCAAGGAAATATGGATTTTGCAATTATAGGGCGAAGTCTAATTGCAAAATCGATATTTCTTTGAATAAATTTTCCATTTTAAACATGTTTTAAGTTTCATGTTGTGAAAAGATGGCTACGTATATTGAGAAAAAAAAAGGCAAAATATAAGCCCCGCCCACCCACCCTGTCTCAATTCTGATGATTTTTTTTACTTGTCGTGAACCAAGAGGGAGCTTAACTGCAGAATACTTATTTCTTTACAAGAAATTAGAAACATGTTGTTGATTGTCGTGTTGTTCAAAGTACAATCATGTACATTAAGAAACAAAGGAAAATATAAATCCCACTCACCCACCCCATCTCCATTGTGATGATTTTTATATACTTAGAAACTTAAAACGCGTTTAAAATGGTATATTTTTGTAACGAAATGAGGATTTAGCAATTAAATTCAGCTCCTTTGGCTCTCGACGATTAAAAAAAATCATCACAATTGAGAGAGGGCGGGTGGGCGGGGCTTATATTTAGCCTTTTTTCTTAATATACGTAGCCGTCTTTTTAGAACAAGAAACTTAAAACATGGTAAAAACGGTACTTTTTTGCAAGGAAATATGGATTTTGCAATTATAGGGCGAAGCTTAATTGCATAATCTATATTTCTTTATACAAATTTTCCATTGTAAACACGTTTTAAGTTTCATGTTGTGAAGTAAAAAATTCGTGAATTACGAATTTTTTCAGATGATAACACTCGTTCCATATTTTTTAGCAGAAAAAAAGGTTGTTAAGTATGTATGTTTTATAGGGAACAATAATTGATTCTAGTTACTAAGGTAGTTATAAATACCACAAAAGCTTTGGTAAAAATCATTATAGGTTTTGGCTATCAAACTACCTTAAATTTGGCGTCCAGAGAATCTTGGGTGTTTGTAGTATTTCTTCTATAATAGAATTAATAGACATTACTATAGTTTGAATTATCTATGTTTTCATTGAATTTTCAAATGTTAATCTATGCCCAGACTATTAAACACTCATATTTGAATCTAAACCAATAAATCAAAAGTTAAAGCAATTTTTTCAGCGCAATTTTATGGACATTAGGGGTGACTGAATAACGATTAAGTAATAATAATTAAATAAGGGAAGTTCTTACCTAACGGCAATATCAGAATGTTGTGGTGTCCCGATTTAAAAATTAAAAACCCCATTAAAAAAAAATATATTCCGATAACGGCGGCAATCTCCCATGTTTGAGTGCGTTTAGTGGATTAGCGAAATGTCACCCTATAGGTTGGTAGCTTTCGGAAGTTTGAAATGTGAGCATTGGTTCTTTTTTTGTGGTGCAGTGTAAACACGTGTTAAAATAATCATCAAAGGAGAGTTTCTTAAACAAAAAAAAAATGCGTTCAATTATTATAGTTCATTTTCTAAACGAGCGGAAAAAATGATTAATCATATTGTTACGAAAGAAACCCATACGCCGCCCCGCTACGACGCCTATGGGTTCTAGTATGTACGGTGGTGATGACTCATCGTTGGTGACGGCGGCGGATTGCGTGTTTTTTTCCGTGCCTCTAAAAAAATGAATAGTAGTGGCGATACAGTCAACACGTGTTTTGTTGTTCACTATTTATAAACTCACATTCAAGCAAGGATTTTTAATTTGTGTTAATGGTTGTAACGCAATTTTACGACAATAATATATTATGTTTAATTGTTTACCTAAAATACGTGGCCAAAATACTCTTCTTCATTTTGGTCTTGGTATCTAAAGCTCTGGATATTTTTACCTACGTTATTATATTACTCAAATTTCATAATTTCTCACTCGAGATTTAAAATACCTCATTAGCAGCATTTAAGCTAATATTAAATATGGATCCATTTTGGGAGAAGGAACTAAAAAATTATCATCAACTAAATAAATCATGGACTGGAAGTAGGAGGGGTATTATATGTTTATTTTGTACTGCGTATGCGGGATTTTTTATCGCCTGAATTTGAACATTTATTCTCAACGTACACCGCTCTACAGCGAAGCGTATCCGAGACCACTTTATTTCGATTTTTACAGCATTGAATATGTGCCAGGATCCAGATCCACACAACTGGGAGTTTCTTGCTTCTTGTTCATGTGAATGTTTATCTGTAACAGCGGTGTGAATCAGACCGCCTAGTTGGCTTCATGTTCGTTGTTGTATCTACAGTTCGACCAAATAAATTTTTCCAGCGCTGCCCAGTTTGTTTTCACTCAGCTTCGTCTTGTAGTCGATTGTCAATAACTCAAATTTCATGTAACACCACCGTAATACTTTAGATATCACCATCTTTAATTAATGTTTCTCTTTTCTTTGTTTGTTTCAATTTGTGGTATTTAAATATTTGTATCGACTTGTAACAGATTTCTTTCACAGCTTTTCCCCCCTCAGGAATGATGAATAAACAACGTGTCCCCATATTTTGAATTTTGATTTAAAGTCACATTTCCGTCCTTGGGGTTCACCGAGTACATTCCACCATTTATCAAATCATTAGGTGGTCTTCATTTTATTATATAATTACAGTTCAAGACCAATTTTAAATTTTCGGGGGTCTTATAATTTTGTGCACGTATCTCACTCTAGTGGGATGCTTGGGTCATCACATATTTTAAAATTTAAAAAGGTAATATCTGTGTCACTGAAAAAGTCACCAATTTGAAATTTAGTCTATATGGCGTCCACATGTTCGAAAATTTTCGTCGAGGTTATTAAAATTTGTTAATGTCAAGTGTTTAACAAAACATTTGTGGTATGAAAAAAACAATGCTGTGAAACCGCATTTGCAAAATCAATAAAAATAAGTAATTTAGTTTGTAATTTCATAAACGGGCAATTGTTTAAACAAAAATGAATCGCATTCAACGCCACAGTTTTCCTTAACAAATGTAAACAGTATAATTTCAGTAACTAAGTGATTTTCTTAAGTTATTGCATTATTCACACTTCGTGCCTTCTCACATCGAAATTAATAATAAAGTAGCGGTCATTTCTACGGAACCACTCGATAAAAAGTCAAGTTGGTAGCCCTGTCATCTAGTACTTTACGCCGAACGCTGTTGGTAGCGGTAATTGACATGGCAATCGAAACTAGCACAACACGAATGTTTCGGTTGCCCTCAGCTATGCCGCACTGTATCCCGTGCAGACTGTATGTTCTGTTCATCTATTTATTAAAATAAAATATCTACATTGACAATGGGGCCATCTAACCTGTCAAATTTTTGACACATATGTTTTCCCCCAGAAACCCGTCAAGGTCACTTACACCAAACAAATTTTGAAAATTTACACTAGGGAGTGGTTCTATAGAAAAGATCGCGACTTTAGATAGTTTATGGTATTTAAACTAATCATAAACGTTAGTCCATTTTGCGAGAAAGGACCTCGAGAACTGCCATTAGTTAAATGAATATCATCATGGCAGATGTACTTTATTTTTATCTTGTCTTGTATTAATGTGTTACTTTCTTACATTCGAATTATTTTCTCACAGTTTGAATTTGAACATTTATTCTCGATGTATGTATGTATTTTAATTTTGGTTGTTTCCTTTCTGGTAATTATACTCATTTTGCTATCGCTACAAATTCACGAGATTTTAACTTTAATCGAAATAAACGCAGAAGTGACAGGACCACACACTCAAATTGACAGCTTTTCTGTCATTGCGGTTTTCATGTGAATGTTTATCTGCTATAGTGAACAAGCTGTCTAGTTGACTGTGTCCTTTACGGGAATGGAAGTAAGTTTCAGAAATGCAAGTGTTTAAATTCCATAGCACGTGTTATGATTGTGATTAGGGCTAAAAGATCTACACGAGGAGACGCCCTTCGTGCCGCTGTCACCACCTAGTTTATTTTTCAATCGACTTAGTTTTCTTCCTCGACTGTTCATATTTAAATCTACCGCCACATCATCGAGACAACTTAAGTCATCGCAGAATTGTTATCATCGTGCAACGTTTTCTTAAAAAAACAAAACGTTTAGTGTTATTTTGAAAGTACTAACAAAAATCCGCTTTGAAATTTTTGTACATTAAGACTCTGTGAATCTTAGAAATATCATATTCCTTTTTTTCCAGTCAATATGGTATGGAATAAGTGATTCTAACAAACTTATTATTATCGAAAACGATGTCCTTGAATAATACTACCACTAACAGAAGTGGGAAACGCCCAACTATCATTTAAATATGTTGACACAGGTCTATACCCTTTGTTAGCGTAATTTTTGTATGCATGAGTTGCAAAACTGTGGGAGTTTATTAACCCTGGTATTCACGTTCTTTACATTCGGCAGACTATACATTTCCGGTGGCCGGTCAAATTGAAATTTGATGGAAATCAAAAAGGGAACAAAACGACTGAATAATCAATAAAGTGCAAACTTCACCGTTTGTGAGCTCGAAAATATTAGAATAAAACATCAAAGTAAAAGTACGTTAAGTACACACACCAGTCATAAAAGTGAAGGTGACGAAAGAAACAAACAAGTTATACAAAGACATTTATTATTCAGTAAATTTCGGTATTCGTATAATTATCTTATAATATAAACAACTATTTCTATGTACAATGCAACATGGTACAAGGATTACGTACACCATTATTCCTCGGTATTCATAAAATTTACCTTCAGTAAACACATCCTCGTAACAAACCAAAGTAACAATTTAACTCTATCACATAATATAATGTACACCAATTTTGTACACTGACACAAAAGTGGTGCATCTCGAAGAGCGATACATCCAAAAGAACAACGTAGAAGAAAAGAACGAAAAATAGCGATAAAAATGACCAAGAAAAGAAAGACCACCAGCTTGGCATGTCGCGAATTCGATTCATCCGATTATTAAAAGAATTTTGATTTGTCATTTTTGACGGAAACAAGTGCCTACGTAAGCGTGCACTGAGCATGAGAGTGAATTAGTAAAATCTAACCGCTAATCAACATGGCGTAAACTATGACAAGTGAAGTTGACGGCATGTTTGGACGTACCACAGGAGGGGTGCATTGCCGCTTAACTTAGTGCCTTGATCCAAAGATGGCCTACTCTACTTATACTTCTTTTGTTTCGCTATTCATTGACTAAAGATGGTGTTCTAGAGCTCACAGCATTCACTAGAAACGCAAACTTATCCAACTAAACCATGCTCTATGTATGAATTAGGCCTAGATCCTGTATTTCCTACGATTTGCCGAGAGAACCCGAACGGAACGAAAAACGTTAAAAAACGAAATAAATGCGCCTACGACCGCTAAAAATCACTACTTTGCCCCTTGGCACGTTTTGTTCCCCTGCCAAGCCGCAGCGCCCCCTATACCATGGCGACATGGTTAATAAGACACGATCCGCACGATTCAGTCTTAAGTCTTGTTCGTTTAGTTACGTGGCGCAGAGGAACGGCTACTAGATGGCGTTGCGTGGTGAGTGCGGGGTGCCAACACAAAATCTGCATGTATATACACGTCGAAAAAACAAAACGGTGTGCCAAGGCAACGGCGATTCCAGCCTTGTAGAAACTCAGTCCGCTGTGTAACAGCCCCTTTATTTTTGCTTTGTTCGTGACCAGACGCTAGTCTTAGTTTTATTAATTGAGCACCATGGAAGGAATGGATCTGTGTTTTTTTTTTTCAAATTTTTGTCGGCTGCATGTTCGCACTGATGTCCAACAAACGTCATGACTCCAATGGTTGTTGTACAGCAGTGGAACAGAGGCGTGGCTTGAAGCATTTACGATGAAGGAATAGATGACCGAAAGGTCATTGCTTAAAGAAGGTTCCTGAGAGAGGTAGTTTCGACAATCCTCATTTAATTCCGGAATACTGCTCTTGGTATAGGTGTACGCCTTCCACGCTGAAGATTGAAGCATCTAAAAACAAGGAAGCCATTAATTGAACTGATAATACAAATGAATAACATAATAAAACACAGACCATAACCAAAAATATACATATAAGGCTATTTTTGCAGCTACTAAATTTTTTCCTCTGAAGTGGTAAACCTACCCTAAATGACAGTGTACTATACTTTACAGTGTGCTTTAGAGTTTAATTTTGGCACCTGCTGTCTGAATATGTTATATTTTTACAGTTTCACAATTTGATTTAATTAATTTGTACAAAAGCATGTTTTAATAGTAAAAAAAAAAAAATTAAACTCAAAATATAATTACTAGAATACTTAATATATGTATAATATAATATAAAAGGAACGTTGTGTAACGGACAAAAGAAATGTGATATAAATAAGAAATAAACTTTATCCTGCAGTTATGGATCCAATTTGCCGACTTCCCTTACCTACATAATTTTATCAATCTATAAAGTTAAAATTGAACGCTATCCTTTTTGCCCTGCACACAAATCTTACTGGAATCGTCACAGAAATGTTTCAAAAACATTATTTTGCTTACAGAGATGAACGTCACATTTTTCCAAAGATTTGCTTCATTATTTTGTTTCTTCTCAGTCACTTGAAATAAAAATTAGTTGAAGAAATAATACTTCCACAGCCCATACAAATTCCATAAGGACGCGGTCCGTACAAGTGCGGACACTATGATGTATATTTAAAACACGCAACCAACTGAAAAATATGCTTTTCGAAAATGGAAAAACTCAAAAATCCTGAAATTGAAAAGTTCCTAAGAAATCGAAACAAAACATTGGAAAATTGCTAAACTCAAAATTTAAAATTTAAAAGTCGAAAAACAGAGAAATCGAAAATTCCAAATTTAAAAAATCGCAAAAAATGAAAAATCGAAAAGTTGAAGAATCGAAAAACTGAAAAATTGTGAAACTGGCATTCCAAAACAGAAATCACGAAAAATCCAAAAATTGGAAAATCGAACTCGAAAACTGAAAAGTTGCGGAATCGAAATTGGCCAAAATCCAAAAGTTAAAAATCGAAAAATCTAAAATCAAAAAATCCAAACCTCAAAATCTCGAGAAACCGAGAAATCGAAAACCTGAAATCACGAAAATTTTAAATACTAAAATATTGAAAACTCAAAAATTTAAAAAATCGAAAAACCGAAAAATTGAAACATCGAAAATTTTAAAAAACGAAAAACCGAGAAATTGAACTCCGAGAAGTTGAAAAATCGAAAAATTGAAACATTGAATAATCTAAAATTTTAAAGATCGAAAGGTCTAAAATCAAAGAATTAAAAGAATCGAAAATCTGAAAAAAACGAAGAATTGAAAAATTAGAAAATCGAGAAATCGAAAAATTTCAAATTTAAAAAATTATAAAAATTGAGTACCATTAACAAACTAAAAAATTATAAAAACTGAAAAATTGAAAATTCGGAAAATCCAGAAATCGAAACAAAGCAATCGGAAAATTGTTAAATCCAAAATCTAAAATTTAAAAATCAAAAAACCGAGAAATCGAAAATTCCAAATTTAAAAAAACGCAAAAAAATGTAAAATAGGAAAGAATTAAAAAACTGAAAAATTGTGAAACTGGCATTCCAAAACTGAAATCACGAAAAATCGGGAAATTGAAAAACTAAAAAATCGAAACATCCAAAAATTGGAAAAATGAAGTCGAAAATTGAAAAGTTGCGAAATCGAAATTGGTCAAAATCCGAAAGTTAAAATTGATAAATTTAAAATCAAAAAATCAAAACATCAAAATCGAGAAATCGAAAAACTGAAATCTCGAAAATTTTAAATACTAAAATATTGAAAACTCAAAAATTTTGAAAATCGAAAAACCGAGAAGTTGAAAAATCGAAAAATTGAAACATCCAAAAATTGGAAAATAGAAGTCGAAAATTAAAAAACCTAGATATCTAAACATCAAATGATCGAAAAATCGAAACATTTAAAAATCCAAAAATGGAGAAACTGAACAATAAAAAAATTGAAATATCGAAAATTTTAAAAACTGAAATATTAAAAAATCCAAAATTTTAAAAATCGAAAATCGAGAAGTTGAAAAATCGAAAGATCAAGAAAACTAAACATCAAGAAATTGAAAAATCTAAAATTCGCAAAATTGAAATATCGAAAAAGTGAAAAATCGAAAAATTCGAGAAATCAAATATTCTAAATTTTTAAAAATTGAATAATTAGAAATATCGAAAAATTGGAAAATTAAAAAATATAAACATCAAAAAATCTAAAATTTAAAAATCGAAAAACTGAATAATCAAAAAACCGGGAAATCGATATCCCAAATTTAAAAAATTGCAAAAACTGAAAAATTCCAAAACTGAAACGACGAAAAACTGGGAAATTGAAAAATTAAATCATGGGAAATATTTAAAAATTGGATCGAGAATTCCAAAAATCGAAAAACTGAGAAATCGAAATAGGTCAAAATCGAAAAATAGACCAATCAAAAAATTGAAAAACTGAAAATCCCAAATTTAAAAAATCGCAAAAACTAGAACTGAAAAACTGAAAAATTAAAAAGCCGAAAAATCGAAAACGAGAAGTCAAAAAACCGAAAAATTGAGAAATTTAAAATATGTAATACAAAAATTGATAAATCGAAACATTGAAAAATCGAGAAATCGAAACATCAAATTGTAAAATCTAAAATTTAAAAATTAGAAAAATTGAAAGATTGTAGAACTGAAACATCGAATGATTACAAAGTCGAGAAACCGAGAAATGGGAAAATAAAAAAATCGATTTATTCAGAAATTGAGAAATCGAAAAATTGAAAAATCAGGAACGTCAAAAATTGAAAAATGGAAAAATTGAAGAGCCGAAAAATCGAAAAATTGATAAAACAAAACCGAAAATCGTAAAATTTAAAAACTGAAAAATCTAAAACCGAGAAGTAGAAAAATCGAAACATCGAGAAATAGAGATATCAAAAAAAGTGAAAAATTTAAAATTTTAAAAATTGAGTCTAAAAATCAAAAAATTTATAAATCGAGAAATCTAAAATTTCAAATTTAAAAAATCGCAAAAACTAAAATCGAAAAACTGAAAAATTAAAAAATTTCAAAACTGGAATGAGGAAAAATTGGAAAATTGAAAAGTTGAAACATCCCGAATTCGAGAAATTGAAAAATTGAAACATCGAGAAATCCAAACACCAAAAGATTGATTGATTCTGAAACCGACAAATCGAGAAGTTGAAACATCGAAGAATTGAAAAATCGAAAAATTGAAGAACTGAAAAATAAGAAAATCGATTAATCCAGAAATTGAGAAATGGAAAAATTGAAAGTTCAGAAACGTCAGAAATTGAAAAATGGAAAAACTGAAGAGCTAAGAAATTGAAAAATCGTAAGACTGAAACATCGGAAAATTGAGAAATCGAAAAATTAAACAATATCAAATTTGAAAAACCGAAAAACAGAGAAAGCGAAAGTTGCAAAATCGGGAAAGCGAAAAATTTTAAACTGAGTAGTCGATTAAATCGAAAGATCGAGAATTCGAATCATCAAAAACTTGAAAAATCCAAAATTTAAAAATTCTAAAAACTGAAAAATCGAGAAAACGAAAAATCTAAAATTTAAAAATGGAAAAATGAAGAATCGAAATATGTGTTGAAAAAGCCTAAAACCAAAATATCGAAATATTCAAAATTGGAAGAAACATTGAATCGAAAAAGTCCCAAATCTGAAACGTCGAGAATTTTAAAAATCGAAAAATTGAAAACCTGAAAAATCGAAAGTCTGAAAAGTCGAGAAATCGAGTAACGGGAAAATCAAAAAATTGATTAATCGAGGGATTCAGAAATCGAAAAACTGGAAATTCAGAAACGTCAAAAACTGAAAATTCGAAAAACTGAAGAGCTGAAAAATGAAAAAATCGAGAAATCGAATATCTGAAGAATCGAAAAACTGAAGAACCCCAAAAACTGAAATACCGGAAAAAAAAATCGAAAATTCGAAAAATCGTAATCATATAAAATTTTGATTTTTTTTCCAAAAATTAACAGACAGAAACGGGAGATCTAGTTTTTTGTACTCGAGAAGTCATGAAACGTCAAGAAAACATGAAAACAGAAACTACACTACTTGAACCCGTAAAACGTCGCACATAAAAAATTACACTGTTTTTCTCTTTTCCGAAATGGCGTTCCTAAGAACTAATAAAGTGAATTCGTATCTCTTGCGTTTACGAGGTCCCAATAGTGGCAAATAAAAAATTCATCGCCTTATTCGTGTACTGCGGCATCTGCGTGCACTCACCGTCGGGCAGTTCTAGCAGCTTCTTAGGCAATCCGTTGAAATATGGGTGCACCATTGCTTCGTCGGCACCTAACCGCTTCTGGGGGTCCAGCTGGAGGAGCGACGTCGCCATGGTTTCGCCGTGGACGACGTCGTGCAACCTCGGCCAACACAGCCCCAATTTCCTAGATCTATACTGTCCTATTTTATGGAGTTTATACCCCGGCAGTCGCGTCACGCCGGGCCAGTCTTCTTCTGTCGGAGTTCCTAATACCTAAAAAAAAATTACAAATTTAGTTCCTCCGGTGCGTACAAGGCGAGTTTTCTCGACTTCGACAACCAAATAAAATATCCTTCATTAAATTACCAAGTTTTACAAGGTTTGGACTTGCGTAAAGCAGCAGGCAGCGCAAAAAATTAACGAGTTTCACATTACGACAAACCCAATTTCGAATGGTGGATACAGAAAACACACAAACTAAATCGTAATTTAATTCCCTGCAGATTTCCGTAGACAACGACGACGACGACTGTTGAAGGTTGTAAACTTCCTGCAGCAATCTCAAATGACGTTTGATAAGCTTACACTGATCATATAAGCTGATTTACGATGCTAATTACGCAATTAGGGACATTTGTGTCGAACGAGCGAGCACTTAATTGACATGATGATAGGAATTATTATAGGTAGGTAATTTGTATAACACACGTAGGAATTATTACCGTTCAGGAGGTTCTTAGACAAAAGTGAGCTATGACATTTTTTCTTCACGTTGGATAAACTGATTCATGGACAAAATGGTTTGCTTTCGGGGCGTAGTAAAATTTTTGTGAATAATGTGAAAAGCTTACTTTAGCAGCCTAATATGGGAAATTTTTAATATTGAAGACATTCCTACTGATGACTTTAATTTTTGTAGTGAATTAATCGAAATGGAATAAAATACTAAATCGTCGAAAATGGGTCGAAATTTGCGTAGTGGAAAATTTCATTTTCGAAACAGTTGTCTAAAAATTTTGAAAAAATTCGGGGATATATATTCCGACGTGCTGATTCCAAAAATATAGCGTGTTGATGGTCACAGAGCAACATTTTCGAAAGAATCGGTAAGAAATGCGAATTTTTAAAAATTTCTAAAAATTTCGATATTTCAACGGTCGATTCTGGAAAAAACGTGGCAGTTAACAAAGAACCGAGGGCGGAAGTGAGTTCTAAAACTCGAAATCTACAAGAAAATGTCAAAATTTGGCCGAAATTTGAAGAATGGGGAACCATTGGAAAAATTTCACTAAAATAAGTTGTCTAAAAATTCTGAAAAAATTCAGGGATGTAGATCTCGATTTGGTGATTCCAAAAATATAGAACGTTTCTGGCCACGGAGCTAGAATCGGTATGAAATGCGAATTTTTGAAAATTTCTAAAAATTTCGATATTTCAACGGTCGATTCCGGGAAAACGGTTGCAGTTATCAAAGAAACGAGGCCGGAAGTGGGTTCTAGAACTCGAAATGTACAAGAAAAATGTATTTGGTTAAGTTTCGAAAATGTCAAAATTTGGACGAAATTTGAAGAAATTGGAAAAATTTTACTAAAAAAAAAAGCTGTCTAAAAATTCTAAAAAAATTCAGGTATGTAGATCTCGATTTGCTGATTCCAAAAATATGCAATGTTTATGGCCACGGAGCAAAATATTCGCTAGAATCGGCATGAAATGCGAATTTTTTAAAATTTCTAAAAATTACGATATTTCAACGGTCGATTCTGGGAAAACGGTTGCAGTTATCAAAGAAACGAGGCCGGAAGTGAGTTCTAGAACTCGAAATGTACAAGAAAATGTATTTAGTTAAGTTTCGAAAATGTCAAAATTTGGCCGAAATTTGAAAAAGGGGGGACACCATTGGAAAAATTTCATTAAAAAAAATTTGTCTAAAAATTCTGAAAAAATTCAGGGATGTAGAACTTGATTTGCTGATTTCAAAAATATAGAATGTTTATAGTCACAGAGCAAAATATTCGCTAGAATGGGTATGAAATGCGAATTTTTTAAAATTTCTAAAAATTTCGATATTTCAACGGTCGATTCAGGGAAAACGGTTGCAGTTATCAAAAAACCGAGGCCGGAAGTGGGTTCTAGAGCACGAAATCCACAAGAAATTGTATTTGGTTAAGTTTCGAAAATGTCAAAAATTGGCCGAAATTTGAAGAAGGGGGAACCATTGGAAAAAATTCACTAAAAAAAAAGTTGTCAAAAATTCTGAAAAAATTCAGGGATGTAGATCTAGATTTGCTGATTCCAAAAATATAGAATGCTTATGGTCACGGAGCAAAATATTCGCTAGAATGGGTATGAAATGCGAATTTTTTAAAATTTCTAAAAATTTCGATATTTCAACGGTCGATTCTGGGAAAACGGTTACAGTTATCAAAGAAGCGAGGCCGGAAGTGAGTTCTAGAGCTCGAAATGTACAAGAAAATGTGTTTAGTTAAGTTTCGAAAATGTCAAAATTTGAAAAAGAACCATTGGAAAAATTTCACTAAAAAAAATGTGTCTAAAAATTCTGAAAAAATTCAAGGATGTAGATCTAGATTTGCTGATTCCAAAAACATAGAATGCTTATGGTCACGGAGCAAAATATTCGCTAGAATGGGTATGAAATGCGAATTTTTTAAAATTTCTAAAAATTTCGATATTTCAACGGTCGATTCTGGGAAAACGGTTGCAGTTATCAAAGAAACGAGGCCGGAAGTAGGTTCTAGAACTCGAAATGTACAAGAAAATGTATTTAGTTAAGTTTCGAAAATGTCAAATTTTGGCCCAAATTTGAAGAAGGGGGAACCATTGGAAAAATTTCATTAAAAAAAAATTGTCTAAAAATTCTGAAAAAATTCAGGGATGTAGAACTTGATTTGCTGATTCCAAAAATATAGAATGTTTATAGTCACAGAGCAAAATATTCGCTAGAATGGGTATGAAATGCGAATTTTTTAAAATTTCTAAAAATTTCGATATTTCAATTCTGGGAAAACGGTTACTGTTATCAAAGAAGCGAGGCCGGAAGTGAGTTCTAGAGCTCGAAATGTACAAGAAAATGTGTTTAGTTAAGTTTCGAAAATGTCAAAATTTGGCCGAAATTTGAAAAAGAACCATTGGAAAAATTTCACTAAAAAAAATTTGTCTAAAAATTCTGAAAAAATTCAAGGATGTAGATCTAGATTTGCTGATTCCAAAAATATAGAATGCTTATGGTCACGGAGCAAAATATTCGCTAGAATGGGTATGAAATGCGAATTTTTTAAAATTTCTAAAAATTTCGATATTTCAACGGTCGATTCTAGGAAAACGGTTGCAGTTATCAAAGAAACGAGGCCGGAAGTAGGTTCTAGAACTCGAAATGTACAAGAAAATGTATTTAGTGAAGTTTCGAAAATGTCAAATTTTGGCCCAAATTTGAAGAAGGGGGGACCATTGGAAAAATTTCATAAAAAAAAGTTGTCTAAAAATTCTGAAAAAGTTCAGGGATGTAGAACTTGATTTGCTGATTCCAAAAATATAGAATGTTTATAGTCACAGAGCAAAATATTCGCTAGAATGGGTATGAAATGCGAATTTTTTTTAAATTTCTAAAAATTTCGATATTTCAACGGTCGATTCAGGGAAAACGGTTGCAGTTATCAAAAAACCGAGGCCGGAAGTGGGTTCTAGAGCACGAAATCCACAAGAAATTGTATTTGGTTAAGTTTCGAAAATGTCAAAAATTGGCCGAAATTTGAAGAAGGGGGAACCATTGGAAAAAATTCACTAAAAAAAAAAGTTGTCAAAAAATTCTGGGATGTAGATCTCGATTTGGTGATTCCAAAAATATAAAATTTTTATGGTCACGGAGCAAAATGTTAGCAAGAAAAAGTATGAAATGCGAATTTTTGAAAATTTTTAAAAATTTCGAGATTTCAACGGTCGATTCTGGGAAAACGGTTGCAATTATCAAAGAAACGAGGCCTGAAGTGAGTTCTAGAACCCGAAATGTAGAAGAAAATGTATTTAGTGAAGTTTCGAAAATGTCAAAATTTGGCCGAAAATTGAAGAAGGGGGGACCATTGGAAAAATTTTATTTTCAAAAAAGTTGACTAAAAATTCTGAAAAAATTCTGGGATGTAGATCTAGATTTGCTGATTCCAAAAATATAGAATGTTTATGGTCACGGAGGAAAATATTCGCTAGAATGGGTATGAAATGCGATTTTTTTAAAATTTCTAAAAATTTCGATATTTCAACGGTCGATTCTGGGAAAACGGTTACAGTTATCAAAGAAGCCAGGCCGGAAGTGAGTTCTAGAACTCGAAATGTACAAGAAAATGTATTTCGTGTGTCGAAAATGTCGAAAATTTGGCCGAAATTTGATGGAAAAATTTCACTAAAAAAAAGGTGTCTAAAAATTCTGAAAAAATTCAGGGATATAGATCCCAATGTGTTGATTCCAAAAAGATAGTGTGTTATCGTCACGGAGTAATATTGTTTTCGAACGTATCTATTATCCTTTGTTGCTTAAGAATACTTTATTTCTGTTTAAAAAAATTAAGTGTTATTTCTTGAAGTTTGTTTTCAGCAGTGTATGACGTTGTTATTCAATTCCTTTTCAGATTTTTGAGAAATTCGCTGATCCGAACAAATCGCTAATCCGAACACAATTTTTCCCCAATTAATTCCGATTACCGAGGCTCTACTGTATAACAATTGGAAACAGAGGACATACACTACTAATTAATGAGTCTCCCAACTTAAAAATTCAATTTACAAAAAAAATCCTCTATTGACTCGTTTTTTAGTACTTCTACCTTTCAATAATTACGAATTTGATTTAGATTTATCCATAGCAACATATTCGTAACATATAAGAAATCACCTACGAAAAGTTACTAAGTGTTTTTGACAAGGGGTATTTCCACTATAATGTGATAAATTTCACTATCCATTAGGATCTTTAAAATTACTAGATTTACTTTGTCTAAAAACATCCTGAACGGCTTATAATTATGACGACTTGTCTACTTTTGTTTACATGTTAACATTTCTCTAAATATCGTAACAGTCGCTAGAATATTGAGTAAATAAATGTTTGGCAATTTCCCGGATCTTACTCTTTTTTTTGTCAATTATGTAACACCTTCTCTTACCTTAAATATTTTATCTAGTTGATCGTATGTATCCCTGACTCCGGGAAAGATCGCCATGCCCGTGATCATCTCGACGAATATGCATCCCACCCCCCACATATCCAGCGAGGTAGAATATTCGGTGCTGCCGAGCAGAACGTCGGGCGGCCTGTACCACAGGGTGACAACCTCATGTGAGTAAGTATGACTCGGGACAGATTTCGCCCTTGCTAGACCGAAATCGGCCAATTTTAGCTCGCCGATTTCGCTGATGAGCAAATTCTGCGGTTTGACGTCTCGATGTAAGACCCTGCGCTTGTGACAGTACGATAGGCCCCTCAACAACTGGAAGAGAAACAGCCGAACGTTGCGGGGATCCAGACCGCCACTGTGTCGCTCAAGATACTGAGACAGATCGGTATGCTGCAAAGAAAACGACTTGATTTATTACACTGTCTTAGAACAAAAAGAGTCACAAAAATGGGCGCTAATGTCAATTTTCGTTGCTAACCAGTTAACGAGGATTTTACGATTTGGTGAATGTGAGCAATTTTATGCTCTGGTGGATTTTAAAAACTGTAAGGAAGAAATTTACTTTAAATTTGTGAGAATCTAATAATGGCTTTATTGTTATGTAATTCTCTTTATGTTACGCTGGGGGAAAATCAAATATTAGATCTCTTCCACTCTGTTTAACACTCAATTTCTCTGGATGATAAAAATTTGCTTTAATATATAGTTTCAAGTGTGCAGATTTTTTTCCTCCACTTTCGATTAATTTACGACTGCTACTATTTAATTAGTTTTTGGTGGTAGCAAATGAATGGGCGTGTTAGCGGAAATAGGTAAATTACAAATATGGAAATTTATTTAATTATCTCTTTGGCTAGATAAGACGAAAGATCATGCTATTACACATTGCAACATATAAGTAATATCCAGTGTTGTGTAAAGTGTGTCGTGTGTACCAGACAAAATTTTGTACCTATTTTTTTGTACCTTTCGAACGTTCTAAAATTACTTCTATGTGACGCATGCTTTTTTATCTGAAACGTTTCTATGAAAGAAATGTGCAGATTTTGCAGCTGCCGAGATAACTTTACAGGTGCTGAGTAATTAATAAAACAGCCAATTACTGCTCTATCTTGGGCATATTTAATTAAAAGTGTGATATCCTACAGAAAAATGCAGAGAAACAAGGAGAAATTACTCCATTAGTGGAAACAATTTAGTCGAAAAAAAAAAAAAATGATAACACTCCATTATTCTAATCATGATTCTACCACAACACTACCGTGTATCCAGAATTTGGGTGAATTTAGGTAAATGCCACCACAAATTTCAAGTGAGCTTTACTTCTAAAAATTTCGAGATGACGTCATCCAGTTTCTAAAAGAGATGAATAAATCAAATCTAATTAAGAATTTACGATAGTCATGATAAGTTTAAATAAAGTGTATGCAAACATTCCGACCAATCGGTTTCTTAGTTTCCAAGTTAAAGTGCAAAATTTTGTTGCGTGATTTTAATTTTTTTAAATCTAAACGGATTAGATTAAAAGTAGCGGCGAATTAATAAATCATAAGTAGTATCTTTCACTAGGTTCTAGAAATCAAGTGATTCTAGAGATTATATATATTTTAGTGTTATTAATGTTATTATTTAATTTATTATAAAGCTTTTAGAAATTCCGAACATCCTAGAGATTCTATAGATTCAAGAGATTCCAGAAATTGCACAGATTGCAGAGATCCCAGTGATAAAAGAAATTTCAGAGATGCCAGAGACTCTTGAGATTCTAGAGATACTATAGAGATTCTATATGCATATATTAACTATTATATAGTAGCTTCTAAGATAAGACCGATTTTGGCAAATGACATATCTTCCAAGAAAAGAGAGGGTGGGTGGGCGGGGCTAGTACCTGCTACGATAAGACTGACATTGGCAAATGATCTACTCTCTAAGAAAATGAAGGGCGAGTGGAAGGGGCTGGTACTTACTAAGATACGACTGATTTTACCAAATAACATACCCTCTAAGAAAATGAAGTGTAGAGAGTATATGATTTCGCAAAATCAGTCTTATCTTGGCAAGTATTGGCCCCGCCCACCCACCCTTTATTTTCTTCGAGGGTATGGCATTTGCAAAAATCAGTTTTATCATACCAGGTATTAACCCCGCCCACCCACCCTCTATTTTCTTAGAGGGATCTCATTTGCCAAAATCAGTCTTTCTTAGCAGGTATATTTTAAACAAGATTTACTTTGACAAATTTTAAAATGATGTATTTTTGGTGGGGATCAACAGACAAATCTTGGTTACCGTTTTACCATAAACACATCACTTTGAAAGTAATGTCTAAAATAAAATAAAATAAAAAAAATGGCCCAAGATTATTTCGATCGAACTTCCCCCGCCCCTGAAATACACTATAATTACCCAATTTTTGCGAGAATTTATAAAATTTGATTTTGCCAATTTTATTTTATTTTTATCCCTATAAGTTAAAATAAAGATACTTAAGTGTGCATTAATTTAAAATTAAAAAAGCATGCTATTCGCATATTTCACGTGACTTTTCCAGAAAAAAATTAATTTAGGCATGGGTCAGTTGTACGCCACGGTCAGAAAAATCTGTAGTTGGTCTTAATCCTACCGGAGACAGCGTTAGTCAGATTGAAATATATATTACTCGGACAAATAATTTAACTTTCGCACAATTACGCACCTATTTATTAAACTTCAAATATTTTTATTGCTCTTAAATTTTTAGAAAAGCAGACTTGCTGATATTTTTATCTCTGTACTGCTAGACTTACTATGAAGTTGACGAAATTACAGTGTACGACGCTTTTTATGAGCTGAACACCTGTACGCAATGACAATCCTTATAATCCCTTATTTGTGCGCCAGCGTCCTATAACCTTTTTAGGGATTAGATTTGCCGCACGGGATAAACTAACCGCGGCGTGCAAGTGACCAACACCTATTAATTTAGCTAGGTAGAGATCACCGATTAATAATAACACTACTATATTCCCAAATTTTTTGGAAAATCTGGTTAGCCATTTTTGATTTACTACAACTCGATGTTGCCCTGATACAAAACCATAAACTAAAGACTAATCGTTGCTGTTTTCGGGAGCTGTAATTAAATAAAATGCAAATTGTAGTTACACAATTTTGATTTTTATTTCCCGAGCGTCAGCTAAGAAAGTATAGTAATCGAGTCCATCGGACGAAGGCCCACTTTTATATTTTCTCGACGTTTCATAAACCCTACAGTACGAAAAAAGTAGTCTCCCGTTTCCGTCTGTCTGTCTGTCTGTATTTATTTTTATTAGAGACGTTATCTACTGTTAAAGTTAAACAAGTACTAGGAATTAAGAATACATTCTTTCCCATTGATTATCTGTTTTAAATATATTTTATATTGTCCGCATTTGTGCAGCCCGTGCTTCCAAGTGCGGTGCAGGGATTGAGGGGGTGTTATTTACTCTACTGGAGCGAGGGAAGTTCTGTCGAAATAACCTTCGACCAATTTTTTTTAACAACACTCTGAAAGTTTCGGGTAAAAACTCAACGCGGATTCATAACCTATACGTGTATTTTATAGGCCCAGGGTTATTTAAACCCCCTGAAATACAGTCCAATGAACTCAGCTTTTTCAAAATTTATAAAATTAAACTAACCCTTCTAATTTCAAGTAGAGATATGTAGGAACGCTAAAATACATAAATCAGTCACAGTATAAGAAAAATATTGGTATTATGTATTTAAAGAGCAACTTTACTACGAGAATTATTGGACATTAAAAATTATAATAATAATAAACAAAATCTAGGCAAATTGATACACCACAAGTACAGCTGTACATTATTTCATAAAATTTATATGGCACGTACTGAGTAAAATTTTGCGATGACGTCATCAAATTGTTGGCGGAATGACTAGACAAATTTTGGGTAACATTTTACCATATACACGATAATATAATATACAAAGAAAATTTGACAACAATTGGTTTGGTAGTTTCGGGGATATTTGTCTAATAAAGATCGATACCCACGACAGACAGACGCGAATACGAGACCTACTTTTTCATACTATACCGTCATGAAATGTCGAAAAAACATGAATGTACCCATTATTATCCATCATTACATTTCAATAACACAATCATTTTCACAATTTTACATTGCGTATTTTATACCGAAATCTTGAAAAAACTAAAGATACTGCAAATACAGAAATTGCTGTACTTAAAAATATATATAAATTTTTATTTAATACACATTTGAAAGACACACAAACACAACAATTTTCTTCAAGAAGTTCACTTTTTATTCTTTAATGGAAAAAAATATATATTTTTTTATAACTTGACAATTAACTTTGATGCAATTTGATTTTGAAACATATTTTGCAATCCAGATTCAGGTGGATCGGTATTTTGGGTTGCCTATTTTAAAAACATAAATGGGTCATCTTAGCTGAATAACCCTGTATATATAAAAAAAAACAACAATTTAAGAAAATATTCAACGGATTTTCGTCAATTATATTGCTTAAATCCGATCTATAAATATGGATAAATCAATGTTCCGCCTAATAAGCAGAACATTATTATTTTTGAAATACATATTTTGATATTATATGAAAATGAAAGAGAAAACATTATTGTATCCACAAATATACAACGGATTAAATTCGAACATAAAACTTAAAACTGTTTTTCAATCATGGTTGAAGGAATCGTAATCGCAGAAATATGTAAGAATGGTTATTTTTTTTTCACTTAACAATAGCCAATTTACATCAAGCATTATTGAAAGGAATTTTCAAATTAAATTTATTCGAACATTTTGCTATATAATCTTGTATAAACCTTGTAGCAATTCATTAAAAAAAATAACGATTTTTTTGAAAAAGTGAAAAAAAGTGAAAAGAAGTGCTACAAGAAAGTTAACAATTTCTGAAATGTTGTTTTAACTTGTGGATATTTTCCCAAATTTCTTTTCTATACAGGTAGTAGTTTTGAACAATCAGTTGAAACGTCCTCTTAGATAGGAGGATTATAGTTGACACGATTCGAGAATATCAATATCAGCAATTATGAGGTGATACTAACTGAATCAATGACCCTTCTCACTATTCTAGGCATAGTTAAAGCAAGTGATGCAACCCCATTTTTAAAAATTGCGGTCTACTTATAATTTAACGTTCTCCACATACTAAACAACTGCTATAAATCACGCCAAAAACTGACCACCAAATAAATACTTACGACATATTCAAAAACAAACGTGAGAGTTTCTCTCGTGTGGACGATGTCGTGCAATGTGACTATGTTCGCATGTTTCAGTTCTTTAAGAAGCGAGGCTTCCCGGATCGCCGTAAACGGGGCACCTTCTTCTTCCTGGAGTCTAATCTCTTTCAAAGCTACGACTTGGTTTTGTAAACTGCGGAACAAAAGCACCAATTACGAACATCAACTCGACTTAGCTTTAAAACTCACTTGCTAAATCCTTTGTACACGGTCGCGTATGAACCTTCACCTAATTGTTCTAGTTTTATGTAGGCTTCCGATTTGCCGAACGGTGAGTCGCCCTGAAAAAGAAAACAAAATAAGCATTTTTCACACATCTTACAGTAGGTCCCCCATTTAGAATTTTACGTTTAAATTAATTAAATAATTTCAAGTAAAAAACTTCAAAACTCCGAGTTCTGAAGCCTAACCTTAACTACATCTACACTAGAAAATCTCATAAAAACTACCCCACAATCCAAATTCCTCTGGAAGGCGAAATTTGAAGCTACGCCAATTTTTAACCCCCTGGGAGATTGGAACAATCGAGCGATTACAATGTTTACAATTTGCCTCACCCTCTAATCTTAATCCTAATCGCTTCGGATTTCAGTTTCGATTCCATTAAAAAGGACTTATCCAGCAACAAGGGAACGTTCAAACGAGCATCGGCCGCCATTACAATTATTTACGTGACTCAGTTAAAGCCAACAAGGCGATACCCATCTTAATTGTGAGGCGTTTAAATGTTTTTTCCCTTTTAATTGGACTAGGCGGAATGTATTACATGGTCTTGTAATCGCTGGTAGGGCATTACCCTGATGTGCAGCTACCGTTGTGGCCGAAACGGGGCAGCTTAATATAACGACGTTGACTCTTGTTATGTTTAATTTTACTATAATGAGAGCTAGAGCGTCGAAAAATGTTGCTCGCGTGTGTCTATTATTATCGGAGTTTTGTTTTTTGTGCTGACGTTTCTGAACAGGAAGTTGTGTAATAATGATATGGACGATCGTTCGGGGCATTCAAATTAGATACATATTCGTTTCCGGTTCAGTGCCATGGACGATCTTTAGCCTGCAGCCTTGAAATGAAAACTGCTTGGTTATATAGATTTAGCATTGATGACAGAATATTATTAATTACATTTTAATGAGGGCAGATTTTGGAATGTCACTCTCCATTACACCAAATTCATGCAAAGCTACATCGACACGAATTTTTGCTAAACTTCTCTGAAACCGGTTAGAGCAACATTATTCTACAATTACATGTTGATTGTTGATATAAAAAACAGCAGTTTCGTGCGGTTACAGAATCAGTGCTTGGTTAATTTTGCACTTCCAAATTGAACAGTATCTGCTTCACAAGGAAATCCTTCAGTCGTGGAATTTTGGTCTTGAGTTCGTCATGTACTATAAGTAAACGTGCTCACATGATGAGTGAACGTGACTACATAGTATATTATAGTCACACGTTTAGAGCTCGTAACTCTTGAAAAATACTTAAACTAAAATTATTGGTGAAAATTAACACACAAATTTTGGTGGCCCTAAAACACCTACACGAGAGATTTTACAGCAAACGGTTCAGTAGTTTCAGAAATTACTATTTAATTAAACAAACAAAAAAAAAAAACGCATTGCTTTTCATTGATCTATGGAAGCTTGATTCACTTATCTTGTCCAGTTCTTTTTGTGAATAAAATAATACGTGGTCAATAAAATCGTCCAGACTCCGACGGAAGCGGAGATCGACATTTTCGCATTCATAAGCCATGGAACGTCGAGAAAACATCCCCCATTATGTTTTTTATTATTTCCAATCTGGAAATATCTTTGGAGCTTTTTTGGTTCTTGAACGGTTTTTTTTAATGTTTTGTCGAGGTCTCGTTATCTCTAGAATTAGAAAAAATAGGTTTCCCATTTCCGGTAGTCTGTCCGCGTCGACTTTTATTAGGAAGATCATTTCCACAATTACCAGATCAACTGTGGTAAAATTTTATGTATGTTAGGAATATCGTGTAGTTTGTAAAACGCTAGCCAATAATCCCTACCAATAATTTGATGACGTCATTTCAAAATTTTACTTTGTGCATGACATAAATTTTATAAATCGATATATTCGTATACTTGTGGTTCATGAATTTGTCTTGATTTTGTTTGTTATTGTTCTTAATAATAAAAAAAAAAATAAATAAAATTCGCAAAATCAAAATTTTTTAAATTCTCGAAAAAATTAGTGTACTTCAGAACTGAGGGAAGTTCTCTCGAACTCACTTTAGATTAATTTTTTAACTCAGTTGATTAATAGTTTTTTTCTACTCACTATATAGAAAATAACTATTATTTTCAGCAGTGAAGTATGTAAAAATCAATCAAATCGTATATTAATTATTATAGGACTCTAGGCACCGGAACTATATAGTTAAATAAATTTTAACTAAATTGTGCAACTTTTTCAATTATAAAAAATTAAAAACTGGTTAATTAATTAGTTCATCTTTCTTAGAAAATTTAGTATTTTTGAAACAATTATCATTTTTTGGTTTAAAGCATAATTCAATAAAGTAGAATTCATAATCTAATAAAACCCTTTTAAACTTTTTTTTTTATTTTTATGAGTGAAAATTTTGAAAATAGTTATAGGTAGTTATAGTCTAATGTAATCTTAAACAGTATAACCTTTAAAATTACTGTAATAACGCCTACAGTCCAAAAAATTACAAAATTTGATTTTAAAAAGTAGCTTACGTTCGGGAAGTAATATGTATTTTTTCAAAGATTTTTGTAGAGCTTGTTTTTCTGAATTCATTAACGTATCATTCTTTAGTCACCCCTACTCCGCCACTGCCTTTGATTCAAACGCATTATGCTACGAAAACACACTCTACTATTGTTTATATTTGGATTAGCGGAGTGCCGGGAAAATTGGGTAAATGACAAGACTAATTGCTCCAAAAATATGAATGTACTGACAAAGCGTAAAGATGTACCTGTTTCTAGTGGGTTTTCCTATTGAAAAGTATTCCGATCAAAGACATGTATGTCAATTACAGCACGTGCAAGTCACGTGCAACATTAATAGGCAAACTTGATGATCTCATGTGTCAGTCGAACTAACGTTAGTAATTCAACATTTTTACGGCACAACCACAGAACTCATCACATGCCAATGCTCTTATCCCGGTAGAAAACGCTGATGCAGTTTGGATTTTTTTTGCAAAAATTTAGATGTCTAGGCGGATTCATAAATCACAAGTATAGGAATATGTTATTTTATACAATTTAAATGACGTTTACTAAAACAAAATTTGAGTGGACGTCATAAAATTGTTGGTGGGATGATTAAAAGTTTTGGTTAGCATTTTATCATCCACACGGACATTCCTAACATACTTACATATAAAATTTGACAACAATCCGGCTAGTCGTTTCGGAGATTATCTATCTGATAAAAGTCGACACAGACAGACGGAATCGCGAGACCTACTTTTTCGTACTCTTGGGGTCATGAAACGTCGCGAAAATATGAAAATTGCCATTCGTCATATGAAAGGTAAATTGCGGGGATATCTATATTATATCGGGTGATTTTTTAAATTTCTGCTCTAGTTAACCATGACGTTAGTGAAATTAAAAGTGCTGATGTAAGCGTCATGGCTAGTTAGAGCAGACATCTAAAAAACCACCTGGTAGTCACAAGAAAACGAAATTTTTACTCTTTATCCTTTTAAAATGAAGTCATTTTTTGACTGGAATTCGAAACATTTTTTTTTTTGCAACATGCTTTCCCCACAATAAGTTAATAACTATACAGAGTGCTTTATAGGTGTAACACTGAACTTAGTGTTTTTAGATGACACCTATATATTTTTATATATTCTCATTAGCCTCCTGGGATTTTTTAATAAAGTTTATTTTTGAAATTCCGATGCGACGTTGCCACGTTATTCCAATTTTCTTCAAATTTTTTGGCAATGGAAGAGTCCACAAAAAAATCGCAAGAGAGTTATTTTCTAAATCCATCGTACAGTTTTTTGAGGGAGGATAAGCAGAGGTACGCGCTTTGTTGTGGTGTCAATCAAATCAAATTTTACTATACTGTGTGTCTATAAAAAAGTCTAGACTTTACAATTTTCAAATAGCGATACAATTTTAATTTTTTCAAATAGAACACCTCTATTTCATTATTGACTATCAACTTTCAGTACAGAAAATAAAAAAAAAGCGAACAAAAAATAACTTTTTATTTAAAAAACTAAAATATCGACATGTATTTGAAAACTGTAATAATTATGTTTTTGTAAACACTCTGTACATGAAAATTTAATTTCATTTATACCACAACAAAGTATATACTTTTATTTATCTCTCCACAAAATATTGTAACACAGATTTTAAAAACAACCCTACCGCGTTTTTGTTTTGTGAACCCTTACAAAAAATTTCAAGAACATTGGAATAACGTCGCATGGGAGTTTCAGAAATAAACTATGATTGTAAAGCCTGAGGAGAGATCAATCAAAATATGTAAAAATATATAGGGTGTTTCATAAAAAAAGTTGTGTACACTCTGTACAGTTAAATATGATTTTAAAGTTCTCACAGAATCGTAAAACTTTGTCCTTTCATCTTTTTTATATTTTTAATAATAAATTAATGAGATATCGAGGAACACGCGTTTAGTGACTCGCCCTGTGTATACACATTTTTTAAAGAAATTCTTACTGGAAAGTAAAAACACTAAAATTTTTATTTCATCATTTAACAACTATCTGAATAAAGACTTCAGATTATTTTAAATCCAAAATCAAACAACTGCAATTAACACTGAGCTTAACGTAGGAACAAATCCGAATTCAATCATGATTTCCGTATTTATTTCTATTTTTATACAGTCATTGTATATTTTACGACACCTACGTATTAAGCAGTGATTTGGTAGTGTTGACACAGTAAACAAGATATTTTTGTTTGGACTTCAATAATACGAAAAACGTGTCACAACATTTATCACAGAAAAACAATGGAAAATGTTGGGAAATTCCTCAAACTTTTTATCGCATTGTACATCGTATTACTGATAAATTTGTGTTATCAAGATTGTTTACAATCTTTGTGTAGTTATGCTATTGTTTGGAAGTTATAATTTTGACTTTTTGGGAGAAATATTTATTATGAACAAAGATGGGGAGAGTGTTTTAGACGTTTTGACTTATATAACTTTGATCGTGAAACGGATATATATATATACAGGTTTTCCAAAAAAGATCTATGATGAAAATAATTCAGTAACTGTTAAGTTTCCCAAAAAAAATAAAAAATCAGTTCAAGATATATACAGAGAAATTGTTCTAGTTCTAGTAGAACTGAGTGCTAATTATCTAATTTATTAATTATGAAATAGTAATTATGTTATTGCAATTATTTGTTTTTTGATCAGCTTGAATAGTCAAAATATTAAATACTTATCGAGAGTAAAAGCCTAATTTGAAAACACATTGAGTTCTGTACCCTCGACATCGCTGCTTTGTATTTTTGGATTCGTTGAATTTCATTTGAACATTATTTATTGGTTCACTGAGTCTCATTTCTCAAAATCGCCATTTTCAATTGTATGGCTTACTAAAATGGCCAAATCCCTTTAGACCCTTAAAATTAATTATAACTGTCATTCCATGGAAAAAAGCTCGACTAAGACAATAAAACCAAGTGCACCCTTCTCGCTCCGACTCCTGTTTTGTCCCAATAACACAAACAATAAATTAAGCCACCCTCTAAAGAGCCGCCCCTGCGGCTGCAATCTCTCAACTTCCAATGATTTAATCCACCCCCTCGCGACCCCTACACTAAATAATGCAAACATCCACTCACCCCGAAAGCGGAATACCTCTTCGTTCGCCGGTGATCGGACCCTTGATTGAGTAAAACTTCCGACTTGGGTCTAGGGGGTTTTCTCGGTCTTAGTATCACTTTGGTCTCCTCCCGAATGTCTTCGTCGAGGAGTTTGCTGTCGGAGGACACGGAAAGTTGCCGTTTCACCCTCTCGTGACCGGCCACATTGTACAATTCTGCAACAGAAAAGAGAGAAAAATCCCCCATCAGAATCCGTTCACCCTACTTCAGAAGGAAAATATCTATAAGCTAAGAGGGTTTGTCAGGCGCTCTTAAAAGCCTTTCAACTTTTAACGTCGTGTGCTACTATTATGAGGACAGGGGGAGGGCCAAAGCCGTGTAAAACGGCAGGGGAGAGGCGTGTAATGTGGAATTTGGAAAAATGGAGAGGAATAAACGGGTAACAAGCTCGAGCGTTTTCAGGGTTTCGGACGGTCGTGGTTTTATACGCAGTGTTCTGGAGCTGGGAATTAATTAATCACCTTGGCAAGCTTTTAGTACACTCGAAGAGCGTGTTCCAAAAGGAGGATTAATAAATTTGCATACAAGTCTTACGGCTGAGTTTAAGGGTACTTCATTAACGTGGAACTGATTTTTTTAATAGATTTTACATAATTAAAATTTTTGTGTTTTAAATTTCATAACAGACTATCGCAAAAAATGGAGATTTAATAAAATAGTTTCGACTTTAGTAAACTATGAGAAGGGAGCTTTAACGTCTACTGGTTGTTTCATTGGTGTGTTCTTCTCAAAATATTTTCACTCTAAAGCTGTACTTAAGAAAAATTGCTCAAATAATGGTCCTATAATTGCTTTAGCGCTGAAACTACTGTTGCACCGTTTTATAATTTGTTAAAAGCGAGGAAACCGAGAGCTTTCGTGTAAAAACTTTCTATGCTTTCTTAAAGCCCCGACAACTGAAACTTTTTAAGTAAAATTGCAACATTAATCAAGACACCTTCGTATTCCAGATTATTTCGTTTTTTACTATAAAAAATTCACCTCTTACATCGGTTTTTCCACTTAAAACAAAGTTACTTTAATACGTTCCGACGAAAATTTGTTAAAAAAGAGTAAGTTTCCACCATATTAAGTATTAATCATGTCATATATGAATGAACGAATAAATATATAAAAATAGAAATAAGAAATAAATAGGTTAGTGCGTAATTTTTGTAAGACAATGCAGGTAGAATTCTGTTCGGAAAACACACGTGGTAAAATTAGCGATACGGGCAAATGGGTAAACAAAAATGATTCGCATTTGACACCACAGTCCTCCGCAACGAGTGTAATTGGTGTGGTATCAATTTATTAATGATTTTCTAATCTGAATTGTGTAAAACTTTTGATTACTTCATAAACAGGTGTAATTTTTGTTTTTATTGTTTGCAAATTATTCGGGCTGAATTTATTTTAAATTAACGATTTCTCACTAGAGATTTACAACAGTTCATTTACCATATTGTTGATACACTTTGAAAGAAAGGACCTTGAAATTGTTCAAGAAGCTGAATTTGGAGATTTTATTGTTCAGGCATTCTAGCAATGTAGGATGCGTACCAAATCGGCCTACCTTTGATTTTGATTGCACTGTTACGACGAACGGGCGAGTAAAATCGGCGTGGGTTAAACTCAACAATTTATTTCTTACTAACTCGAATTTACACGACTATTACAGTGATTATGTATAAAATAAATTCGGCGCAACTTCTCTTGACTCAACTGGGCCTCTATTTAAACCCATACTTCTGCGGTCGAGGTCTTTCTCGAATACCCATCGCGACTTCCGCTTCCAGGCTTTTCGAACGTCCCTCGGCCATCCTGACGATGAGTCACCCGTCATTACATACGAGAAAGTTCTCGACGGCCCATTGCCATCGTACCGGGGTGGCGTATAGGTTTATTTCGTAACAGTATTTCATATTTGCGTGGTGTTTATTTTCAATCAGAAGCGTTTCTACAATTTTAAGGTTCGAATTAAGGAAAGAAGCAATTTTCAGACAAATATAAATGTAGAACAGGAAAAATTGTTCAAAAAAATAAATAGGTTTCAATCTCCCTAAAATTAAGTTTCTAGACCAATTTTCCCCAACTGAGTGCATTCTTTGAATTGATTGTTTAAAATTTTCACGATTTTATGCCAAACTCTTCTTTAGTCAAAACCCAAAAAACCAAAATCGTGAGTTTGACACTCCAATTCGTACCATTCAATTTCCTATAGTTTTCTGGGGATTGGAGTATATTTTCATTTCGGTATGTCGGTTTAGAATCTACACACAATTGTCGGAACGCGTCTTTTTGGGAGACACGATTATTAACATATTAAAAAAAAATTTTTTTTTGGAGCCAAATTCTTATTCAGGAGGTTCGAATTACGAATTCAGAAAAGGAGTATTTTTCAGACAAATTGAGATACGTTTAATCGAGATAGTTCAGGTGGTCTAAATTCGAAAATTTTGACCAAAAAACAGCACCATAAAAATTGTTCAAAAAATAAACATGTTTCAATTTTCCCGAAATTAAGTTTATAGACTAATTTTGGGCAGCTGAGTGCGTGTTTGGACACCGTTGTTGAAAATTTTCACTATTTTAAGCGAAATCTTTCTTTAACCAAAACTCAAAAGACCAAATTATGAGTTTCATGGTTCATTACTTTTGAAAGAGAGCGTATTTTGGTTTTGACCTCTCGATTTCCTATAGTTTTCTGGACTTGCGAATATTTTTTTTTTATTTTTTTTTAGAGTCCACAGACACATTTATCGGCCGGTGTTATTTTCGAATCAGAAACAGAAGTAATTTTCAGCTAGATAGCTCGATTTGGCTAAATTGGAAAATTTTGGCTGAAAAGAGCAAATTTGCTCAAAAATGAAGTATGCTTCAATCTTTCTAAAAATAAGTTTCTAGATCAATTTTGCTCAATTGAGCGTGTTTTTGGAATCGGTTGTTTCAAATTTTCACTATTTTAAGCGAAATCCTCCTTTAACCAAACCAAAATTGGGAGTTTGACTGTCCATAACTTTTGAATTGACAAAGAGAGCATTGTTCTGGTTCTTATCATCCGATTTCTTGAAGGTTTCTAGTGGCATTGCTAAATTTTCAGGTTGAAATCTTTTACCGTTTGGAATATACGCAAAAATTAATCGCACAGTATCGTTTTAGGGAAATTCGAATGTTAAAAAAAAAAAATAAATAAATAAATTGGGAGCCCTTCTACATTTTTTTTTGTTAAAGATTATTCTCTAGGAGGTTCGAATTATGGAAAGGAGTAATTCTCAGACGAATTGAGGTACCTTTAACCGAGATATTTAGATTGATACGGCTTAAATTCGAAAATTTTGACACCAAGGAGCACAGGGAAAATTGTTCAAAAAATGAACGTGTTCCAATCTTCCTGAAATTAAGTTTCAATACTAATTTTGCCTAGCTGAGTGTGTTTTTGGCATCGGTTGTTGAAAGGTTGTTGAAAATTTTCACTATTTTAAGCTAAATCCTTACTTAACCAAAACTCAAAAGCTATTTTTAAAACCGAATAATTAACATGTCGAAAAATCCGAAAAATAAGACATTTAAACATCAAAAATTGAAACATTTTAAATTTAAAAATCGAAAAATTGAAAAATCAAAAAACCGTGAAATTCAAAATCCCAAAATTAAAAAACTGAAAAAATTGAAATGACGAAAAATTGGGAAAACGAGAAAATTTTAATAAATATAAAAATTATGTAAAATTTAAACAATTGAAAAATTATAAAAACTGAAAAATCGTGAAATCGAAAGTTGTGACTTTGACGGACCATAATTTTCCAGTGTACAAAGAGAACGTATTCAAGATTTTACCATTCGATTCTTGGAGTTTTCTAGTCGTATTAGCTAGTTTTATAGTTGAAAAATAGTCGAAAGTCAAGTGTCAAAAGTGCCAAAATCAGTCTTATATGTATTATCAAATACTAGCTCCAACCACCTGCTCTCTATTTTGTTAAAATCAGTCTTATTTTAGCAAGTGCTAGCCCCGCCCACGCGCCCTCTATTTTCTTGAAGAATATGTAATTTGCTAAATTAGTCTTCTCTTAGCAAGTACTAATCCCGAGTACTCCCCCTTCTTTTTATTCTGACGACTAATTTTATTTCTGTTCAGTATAAGATCGTTCATTTTCTTCTGACTGGATAAAATCAGTCACTGAAATAGAGGCAGGGTGGGTGGGTGGGGCCAATTATGTTTTTCTTTCGAGTGGGACTTGTCAAATACTAGTCTTATGTTATCAAATGCGACCCCCCTCAACCGCCCTCTATTTTCTTAGAGGGTATCTCATTTTGTTGAAGTCAGTCTTATCTTAGTAAGTACTAGCCCCACCCACCCACCCTCCATTTTCTTAGATGGTATGTCATCTGCCAAGATCAGTCTTACCTTAGCAAGTACTAACCCCACCCACCTGCCTTCTATTTTCTTGGAGGGTATGTCATTTGTCAAATCAGTCTTATCTTAGGAAGTACTAAAATCTTTAAAATAAATTTGTTTAGAATCTACGCACTCATTAATCGGACGTCATTTTAAGAAATTCGAATGTTAAAAAATTAAAAAAAAAAAAATCAGGAGCCCTTCTATTTTTTTTTTTCGTCACAGACTATTCTCCAAGAGGTTCGAATTAGGGAATTGAGTAATTTTCAGACAAATCGAATCGAGGTAAGTTTAACCGAGATATTTAGATTGATATGGGTTAAATTCGAAAATTTTGACAGGAAAGAGCACAGGAAATATTGATCAAAAAATAAACATGTTTCAAGCGTCCTGAAATTTAAGTTTCAATACTAATTTTGCCCAGCTGAGTGCATTTTTACCATCGGTTGTTGAAAATTTTCATTATTTTAAGTGAAATCCTCATTTCACCAAAACTCAAAAACTAAATTGTGAGTTTAACGGCCTATAACTTTTGAATGGACAAAGAGAGTAATACGGATTTTACCATTCCATTTTTGGAGTTTTCTACTCGTATTGGTTGGTTTTCGGCTCGAAATCCTGGCCCGTTTGGAATCTACGCACTCATTAATCGGTACTGGAAGAACAGAATATCTACTTTTCGAACATTACAATAAAAAAAAAATCGATCGAAGTTGGCGGTCGTCAAATGTTGGACAGGACCGGAATTGCCCGAATGTCTGACTGACGTGTTTGTAA